CTCCTGGAATTCCAGGACTGGATCAGGAAAAATGTGAATCGAGCCTGGACCATCTTGTAGTGTCAGAAAATAAGAATGTGTTCAAAAAATTAAGGGGCCATGCAAGGATACAAGAGGAGTTCCAATGACTAACTCTGGAACAGTTTTAATAAGGAAAATTATAGTAATAAATTATAACTCATACCATGAGTCCAAGCAGAAATGAATAAACAAACAGAAGGGGCAGCTCTTCCATTTAGAATTCTATTAACAAGTGTAAAAAGATGAAAACCACAATTAGAAATACCATGGTCATAAAGATTTCAAGAAAGGATCATAAATGGATGATAGAACTAGTGGGCAAAATGTGGTGAAAATTAAGATATTTAAATATTCTCAAGGTATTGTGCTATAACATACTTAATCCATTATCAAGGGGAAAGTAGTAACTTCACAGTGAAGAAATCTAGTACTAAAAAAAAAATCCTAAAATTCAAATTGAAGCAAAAAAGATTCTGAATAGTCAAAATAATCCTGAGCAAAAAGAATAATGCTGGAATTATCACAACACCTAATTTTAAAATATACCTCAGAGCCAGAATAATAACAAAATAACAGTATGGTACTGCCCATAAAAACACAAAACTCAACTAAAAGTGGATCAAAGAGCTAGGTATTAGCTCAGACCCTGCAAATGCTAGAAGAAGAAGAAAAAACAAACAAACAAACGGTAGACTCAACACTCCAACATGTCAGCTCAGGAACTTTAACAAGAATCCTAAAGTGCAAGAGGTAAAACCAAAAATCAATAAGTGAAATGGCATCAAATTAAAAAGCTTGTGCACAGCAAAGGAAACAATTAAGACTATGAAGATATCCAAGTGCCACTGGCACATGCCTATAATTCCAGTGGCTTAGGAGGCTGAGACAGGAAGATCGTGAGTTCAAAGCCAGCTTCAGCAAAAGCGAGGCACTAAGCAACTCAGTGAGACACTATCTCTAAATAAAATACAAAACAGGGTTGGGGATGTGGCTCAATAGTCAAGTGCCCCTGGTACCCAATTAAAAAAAAAAAATGAAGACTAGGTCGATAGAATGGGAGAAAATCTTTGCCACCTTCTCCTTAGAGCTTTAATCTCCAGGATATATAAAGAACCCAAAAAACTTAACACCAAAAGACAAATAACCCAATCAATAAATGGGCAAAAGGATTAAACAGGAACTTTTCAAAAGAAGAAATACAAGTGGTCAATACATGAAAATGTTCAACATCTCTACAAATTAGAGAAATGCAAACTAAAACTACATTGAGATTTCATCTCACTTCAGTCAGAATGGCAATTATCAAGACAAATAACAATAAATGTTGGCGAGGATGTGGGCAAATAGGTATACTCATACATTGCTGGTGAAACTGCAAATTGGTGCAACCATTCTGGAAAGCACTATGGAGCTTCCTCAAAAAGCTAGGAATGAGGGCTGGGGCTGTAGCTCAGTGGTAGAGTGCCAGCCTCACACGTGTGAGGCACTGGGTTCGAGCCTCACATCACATAAAAATAAATAAAGATGTTGTGTCCGTCTACAACTAAAGAAAAAAATAAGGCTAGAAATGATCCAGCTATTCCATTCCTTGGTATATATCCAAAGGACTTAAAATTAGCATACTACAGCAACACAGCCACATTAATGTTTATAGCATACAATTCATAATAGCCAAACTATGGAACCAACCTAGGTGCCCTTCAACAGATAAATGGAAAAAGAAAATGTGGTATATATACACAATGTAATATTACTTAGCCATAAAGAATGACTTTATGGCATTTGCCAAGGAAATGGATGGAACTGTAGACTATCATGCTAAGTGAAATGAGTCAGTCCCAAAAAGTCAAAGGTAAAACGTTTTCTCTGATATGTGAAAGCAAATAAAAAGTAAGGAGGGTAGATGAAAAAAGAATAGAAGAAAGATTGGTGGACTAGACAATGGGGAATTAGGCAAAGAGAGGAGGGATGGGATAGGCAGATGTCAGAATGGCTACTATCAAGAATACAAAAAAAAAAAATGCTGTCAAAAATGTGGGGGAATGGAATCCTTTTATACTGTTGGTGGGAATGTAAATTGCCACTATGGAAATCAGTACAGAGGTTCCTCACAAAACTAAAAATAAAACTACCATGTGATCTAGGAATACAACTCCTTATTATATACATGAAGAAATTAAAGTCAATATATTATAGAGATAATTGCATTCTGATGTAAGTAACCTAATTTTCCTATGTGCATATACAAATATACCACAGTGAATCTCACCATCATGTACATCTACAAGACAGTAATTAAAAAAAAAAAAACCTAAGTAAATAGCAGGAACATCAGTAAAGTAGAGGGAAGCGAAGGGGGGGGGGGGAGAGGAAGAGGGAAGGGAAAGGGGAGTACTGGGGATTAAATTAGAAGAAATCATATTCCATGCCTTTATAATTATATCAAAATGAATACTATTATCATGTATAACTAGGAAGAACCAATAAAAAATAAAAGTTGAATCTATTTTTACTTGGCAACAAACCCCAGACAGACATGTAGGCCAATGTAATAGAAGAGAGATCACAGGTAAACCCCGAGGGCTCCAGGTATGTGATTCTTGACAAACATGCCAAAAATGTACATTGGAAGAAATGTAGCCTCTTTTGCAAATGGTGCTGGGAAAACTAGATAGCCATATGTAAAAGGCTGAAACTAGATCCCTGTGTCTCACCCTATATAAAAATCAGCTAAAATCCAGCACAGTGGCACATGCCCGTAATCCCAGAGACTCAAGAGGCAAAGACAGGAGGATAGAAAACTCAAGTTCAGCCTCAGCAACTTAGTGAGGTCCAAGTTCTCAAAAACTTAAAACGGATCTTTTCCTCAAAAAGACCTAAAGGGGACTGGGGATGTGGCTCAAGCGGTAGCGCGCTCTCCTTGCATGTGTGGGGCGCTGGGTTCGATCCTCAGCACCACATAAAAATAAAAATGTTGTGTCCACCGAAAACTAAAAAATAAATATTAAAAAATTCTCTCTCTCTCTCTTTAAAAAAAGAAAAGAAAAAAGACCTAAAGGTAAGGTCTGAAACTTTAAAACTGTTAAAAGAAAACAGGGGAAACATTTCAAGACATATGCACAGGGAGTGACTTCCTTTATAGGACTCCAAAAATCTGGAAATAATAGCAAGAATTGACAAAGGGAGCTGCCAACAAATTAAAAACCTTCTGCACAGCAAAGGAAACAGCAGAGCGAAGAAATAAGCTACAGACTGGAAGAAAACCTTTGCCAGTCAATGAAACAAAGGATCAATACCCAGAATATATGAAGAACTCAAAAAACTTAACACCAATAAAAAAAAAAAAAAAACCTAATCAATAAGTGGGCAAATGAACTAAAGAGATACTTTTTACAAAAAGAAGCACACAAGGCCAATATTACATGAAAATGTTCAATATCTTTAGTCATCAGGAAAAGGTAAATCAAAACTACATTGAACCAGGGATAGTGATGAACATACATGTCTGTAAACCCAAAAATTAGGGAGGCTGAGGCAGGAGGATCACAAGTTTGTGGCCAGCCTCAGTAGTCTCAAAATAAAAAATAAAAAGGACTCAGGATGTAACTCAGTGGTAAAGCACCCTAGTTCAATTCTCAGTACCAAATAAAACAAATACCAACAAACAATAAAAACAAAAAACTATACTGAGAGCCCATCTCACCGATGTCAGAATGGCTACTATCAAGAATACAAAAAAAAAAAAAAAAAATGCTGTCAAAAATGTGGGGGAATGGAATCCTTTTATACTGTTGGTGGGAATGTAAATTGCCACTATGGAAATCAGTACAGAGGTTCCTCACAAAACTAAAAATAAAACTACCATGTGATCTAGGAATACAACTCCTTATTATATACATGAAGAAATTAAAGTCAATATATTATAGAGATAATTGCATTCTGATGTTTATCACAGCAAAATTCACAATAGTGAATGTATGGAATCAGCAGGGTTTTTTTAAAAATATATTTTTAGTTTTAGGTGGGCACAATGTCTTTATTTTATCTTTATGTGGTGCTGAGGATCGAACCCAGAGCCTCACACATGCGAGGCGAGTACTCTACCACTGAGCCATAATGCCAGCCCTGGAATCAGCAGTTTTTATGAATAGATAAATGATAAGGAAAACTTTGTATATATGCATAGTGGAGTATTATTCAGCCATAAAGAATGAAATCATGTCATTTTCAGGAAAATAGATGGAACTGGAGATCATAACATTAAGCCAAATTCAGAATGATAAATGTCATCTGTTTTCCCCCATGTTTCCTCATCTGTTTTCCCCCATTCTAGGGGAAAAAAATGACATGAAAGTAGCAAACAGACTCTTAAAGAAGAGGAAGCGGATGGGAGGATAGAGGAAGGGAGGAAAAAAGAAGGATAAAAGCAGGGAGTATATATGACCAAGCTATGTTAAATGCAAATAGGAATATGCCATATTGACCCTTTTTTTCTGAGTATTAAAATGCACTAATTATTTTTTAAAGGACCATAAAACTTTTAAGGAACTGTACACAGAAGTATATTCATCATAATCTGAACATCTTGATTTAAATGTCTGAGTTCAAATCCAGTTCATATTTAACATCTCATTTGCTTTCCAATGAAGTCAAATTTAAAGAAAAAAACATTTTATTTTCCTGTAAGTGATAACTACATTTGGTTTTCATCAGTCTGGAGCAAACAGCCTTTAAATAAACCAAATAAAAGAAATGTATATGATATAGATTCCTTATTAAGTTAAAATAAATGACAGCATAAATGTATGTGTATACATGTGGGAAGTATGTATGTATGTATGTGGGAAGGTGGGGGATGTATTCTGGAGATACAATGAATCATGCATAGCCTATTTATATAACAAAAGTCATAAAACTTTTTTATCAATAGAATCCCTTGAAAGTCACTATTAGATGACGTAAAAACTTTTATCCAAAGATTTAGCTCTTTTAACGACCTTCTTTTATTTATGATTCTCTCTCAAAATATAAGTTGTATATTTTTTGAATCTGTAAACATCAGACTTTCAGCCCTAATACTACAGTCCTCAGAAACAATTCATTTCTTCAGCTCTTCGTGCACACCTGGGCTGGTGGCAGCATTAGCAGCAGGCACTGTGTGTTCCTGTACCATGGATCTCACAGCATGAGCTGCATAGTTAAGGCTGGTATTTTTGTTCCAATGCCAGTAACCTGAGAAGGGGTTATACAGCATTCCTGCCACAGTTTGAACTGACAGACCATCTGAAAAAAATATAAAAAATGTAGGTTTAATAAATACCTTCCAACTGCCAATAATCTCCTTTCACTCTTCATATTAACAAAGTATTTTTAATGTAATGGGCAAAAAATACTTTGTAACCATGTACAGATGATAGTTCACTGTAGACTACTAAACATTCTCTAAAGTATACTGCCTGAGTTTAAATCCCAGCTCTGGTACCTAGTATATGGTGACTACAGGCAAGTCACTTTCCTTTCTGAATCAGTTTTCTCACATGTACCGAACATTTACCATAGCATTGTTAGAAATGGAAGAGATATGTGCATAAAGAAGCAGAGGGTTGGAATTTAGTAAGTATTCAATAAATATTAGCTGTTACAGAAAATATCTTCATCAGATTATTCCCATAAAGCTTCTGCAAAATATTTTTTTCTACTTGATTTTCAACAAAAGTACTCACAGAACTTACTACATTCCTAGGGACTGATAATATTCCAAGTAGAATCAATTTTATTGATATGATGTTTTATGAATAAAAAGTATGAGAAAGAAGGAATTGAAATACTCAACAATACCAAATGCCAACCAGATGTGGTGGCACATGACTATAATCCCAGCAATTTGGGAGGCTGAGACAGGAGGATTACAAGTTTGAGGCCAGCCTCAGAAACTTAGCAAGACTCTCAGCAACTTGGTGAGATGATGTCTCGAAATAAAAGATAAAAAGGACTGGGGCTATAGCTCAGTGGTAAAGTGCCCCTGAGTACAATTCCGAGTACAGGAAAAAAAAAAAAGTCAAATAAATGAATGGAGAAATACGAATTACTTAACAGGAATTCAACACATTGAGTGTTCCCTATATGTAAAGCAAGAACAAGATACTATAAGAAATACAAAAAGGAGATATAATCTTGCCTTTAAGGAATACACAGGCCAGAAAAAGGTGAAAAAATAATAATAATATAAGTAGATTATAAGTAATGTAAAACATTAAAAGTGACATGAAGTTCAAAATACATCTAAGTGTAGAAGAATCAGGAAAAATAGATAAGATTAGCCAGTAAACGCAGGGCTTGGTAGGGCAAACTGGGGTGTAATATTTAGTCCTCATTTGCTTAAGGATGAGGTACAAACATCTCACCCTTAAACAAACGAGGACTAAATAGCCAGAAAGTATCATTAATCATCTATTATTTGCTTGGCCCTGGGTTAGATGCCACAGGTGATAAAAAAAAGTAGTATCTACTTAATTCTAACTTCAAAAAGTTGATGACATAGTTGAGATAAAACCAACATCCAAAAATAATAACCTGTTTAATTAAGTGCTAGATTATGTGATTAATAATTATAAGTACATTTTAAAGTTTCAGTTAGGCTGTGAAAATTGGAAAAAAAAATAATACTTACTTGATTCCAGAATGCTTTCTAGCATTTCAGGTGAAACAAACTTCTCCCATATATGAGTACCCTTTGGTACAATACCTGCAACCTGCTCTGAAAAAACAATTCCCAAAGCATATGACAGTTGTGTTTTGTTGATTGTAGTAATGAACAAAGAACCGCCAGGCTAAAAGAAGCAAAATTATGTAAGGATAAAATTGTACTGAAGTAAAATGTAAAAGGTTAGGAGTATCAGTTAGGTAAAAGCTTTTCCTTCCTTCAAGAATTTAAGTGCAGTTAAGATACATGAGTATAAATAAAATATAATTTACCAAAATACTATTTTTTTCTATTGGGAAATCTACTACTTGAGGCAATCCACTCAGATTCACCGAATCTATACAATAGGGTTTATAACTCTTAAAAACCATACATTACTGACATATTATTTTACATATATTCTTTTGTACACATCAAATACTTTAAAATAAAATACAGAAATAAGATGTTCTTCTTTGTTACAAGTTCACATTTACATTCTAACATGTCACCACTGCTTCCTCTTGGGTGCCAAGTCTGTCTAAGTTTTTTGGTACAGCACAAAGCTACACATCTTATGCATGGGTACATTGCCAGTAAGTGTCTTCAGTTCAAAACATTCAAATGGTAAGGTTTGAACATTCAAATATTAAAGTTTGAATGGTTTTTTTTTTTTTTTTTTGGTTTGTTTTGGCATTGATTTCATTTGTACAAAGATTATGAACAGATCAAGATAAGCACTTAGATGAATACAAAGCAATTATGGGTTATTTAGTCTCCCCTTTTTTTTAACTACATTTATGGTGTTTCTATGTTTAGTATCACAAACAGCAAGGACATTAATGTTCTCTCCCTCTTTTATGCTTTCTTATTAGTGTGATAAGGATAAGATGCCAAAGATTCCTTTCAAAATAATCTTTCTGTATATATGGGACCGGGGGTGGGCAGGGAAGAGATAATATATCTCAAATACCACCCCCAACCAAAAATAAAAAGGAGCAGGCCCTGAAATATCAGTGTGTGCTTTTAAACACTGGAATACCTCATACTATATTGTCATGTTAACTTTTCTCTGTAAAACTTTAGCATCTTAAGAATCATGCTGGGTGCAATAGTGCACACCCGTAATCCCAGCAACTGAGACAGGAAAATTGCAAGTTGGAAGACAGCCTCAGCAATTTAGGGGTACCCTGTCTCAAAATAAAAAATAAAAAGAACTGGAATGTGCCTCAGTGGTAAAACATCCCTTAGTTAAGTCCCCAGCTTTAACAAAAAAAAAAAAAAAAAAGAATCATATATGGACTTAGGGCGGGTGGAGGAGGTAGCTCAGTAGCAGAGCATGCCCCTAGATTTAATCCTCAGTACCACCAAAAGAGAATTTTAAACTTTTTAAAAATTAAGGTTTTTAATTGAAAAATAGGGAATAAGCCTCATAAAATTCCATGTAAGAGAAAACACCAAGAAACTGACAGATTGAAGAAGAGTTAGGAAACATGGCAACTAAATGCAATGCAGGAACCTTAATAGGATCCATAACAGAAAAATGACATTAGTGGAACAACTAATGAAATTTAACAAGCTCTATTGTGCAGTTAATAAGCATAATGCCAATGTTCATGGCTTATTTATGTGCCAGGGGTTATGTGCAGGTACAGAACTATGGCGAGGCAAGTGAGGCTCTAGGGCACAGAACTGAAACAGGCAGTCCCTTCCAGGGTGCAGTGCAGTGCAGGGCTGGCACCTAATAGCTGCCTCCTTCAATTTTATACCCTAGGCCCTTCATTTGACTAACCCTAGTTCTTACCCTTATGATGTGAGTCTTTAATGTAAAGTGAAAATAGTGGAAGAGAACTCTGTATTCTCTTCACAATTCTTCTATAAATCTAAACTTACTTCAAAAAAAATTTTTTTTTTTTTAAAAAAAGCTCTACTTGGACATGGGATAAGTATTTCATTCCTTTAGCTTTTGGCCTTAAGGTGTTACATCTTAAATACATAAACAATACAGTCAAAACCTTAATAATAATAGCACATTAAAGATATTAAGCTGAGCATAGTGGTACAGGCTTGTAATTCCAGCAACTAGGGAGGCTAAGGAAGGAGTAAGTTCAAGGCCAGCCTAAGCGACTTAGTGAGGCTCTCAGTAATTTAAAGAAACTCTGTTTCAAAATGAAAAATAAAAAGGGCTGGGGATGCTTGCTCAGTGGAAGCAACTAGTACTCCTGGGTTTAATCCCCAATACCTGCCCCCAAAATTATCTTTTAAAAAATTAAATAAATTATTTTAAACATATATATATATATATATATATATATATATATATACACACACACACACACACACACATATATGTATGTATATAAAATTGGAACCACATTTGGAGGACTAAATTTGTGGAAAATTATATAAGCATAATGAGAAGAACCAGATTTGGAATCATAAGATCTAGCCTTAAACCCCACCTAACAGTTTTGACATCTCACCAGTTCCCAGTCCTCAAAAGTCAAAAGATGATAACTCCCATCTTTCCTTCCTCATCTGGCTGTAGATAAGATCAAGCAAGATAATATGTATAAAGTGATCCTTTCATAAACTGAAAACACAGATTTACTTAACAAATGCTATTTAAGTAAACTTATGCTAATCATTGTTTTTGTTGATTTGTAAGTATTAATCCAAATCAGTTTCTTGGTAAATTATCATATGATAGCTATTAAGTATTTAATCCAGACTATAATCTAGATCAATAGAAAAATACCACTATAAATGTGTTTGTTATTTTTCCAGTGTTTAGCACCAATATTTTTCAAGATCCCTGACATCACTATACTAATAGAACACTAGAAAACCCCATATTGAGGGCAATCTGAGGGGCAGAAGTAATTACCAGCACAGAGGCTATCCCCTAATCCTGGATTCTTGGTTTCTTCTCTCTTATAGTTTATCTGCTAGACTGTTAAAGTATTATCGAACATATTAACGTTATGGATATACACATGCACTCACAAGAGAAAGCAAACAAGTGATTTTGAAAGTCTTACTTTTAACACTTGACAGCAGCACTGTATAAATGTTTCTAGATCATTCACATGTTCTATAACTTCAGAAGCTATAACAGCATCAAAAGTTTCTGCCTTCTCTTCCACAATTTCTTCCAGAGAACATACTCTGTACTCTATCCTCTTATCCAGGACTGGATCAAATGATTTATGGTGCTGTGCTGTTTTAATATTTTCATCCACAGGATCTATTCCAACAACTGAAGCACCTAATCGCCCTAGAGGCTAATGGCATAAGAAAGTTACTCTCAGGAAGAAAAAAGAACACATGTTAGCAATAAAAAACTTACCAAAAATGAATTGAGATTAACCACAAAGTGATAATTACTGAAGATCATGTTTGTGGATGGGTTCATATACTATTTTCTTTAGTTCGTATACAGTTGAAATTTTCCATAATAAAAAGCTTAAAAGTGAGAACAACAATCAAAATGTACATTTACATAAATGTAGGACAGTGTTAAATATCTGAAATGCAATAAATGTAACACGCCATGGTAAAAACAGCTATTGTTTCTAGTAACCAATTTCTTCTTTACAGTTTTTTCCTGTGACTGACCAGATTTGATTTTGTATGTATGAATATGTGGTATTAGGGGTCAAACCCAGGGTCTTATGCACATAAGCACCCCTCTACCACTGAGCTACATCCCAAGCCCTAGAAATAATTCATAGCTAATTATTTGTTCATCTTTTACATCTGGATACTTCCCATGACACACCCAAATATTTAAATACAGTCTTAATTTTAATCAAAACTTATACAGTGTTTCTATTAAACAAGGTTAGTCAATAAGCTTAAGTATGTCCCATCATCTTAACTTTAGAGACATAATTTCTGCAACAATACACTGAACAGATGGCAGAACACACAGTAAAATCTTATTCATTTATAATTTGTACACCACATATCCTTAATTCACATATTTTAGGCTTTCTGAACTTTTATAATTGATGTAAAAAGAAACTAGCCCACTTCCAGGTCAGGAGCAGGTTTTCTGTGCATGTAGGAACTTAATTGCATATCAAGGACTGTTAGTCACACTATAAACTTGGTTGAGTTATGGACCTCAACACTATCACATTCCATTGAATCTTAAGACTTTTATATCCCCTACTGTTGTCTAAAATATTTCAAAGATCAAATAACAAAAAGTCCCCATGTTGACAGAATACAATATAGCTGCAAGGCGTAAATTTACTATAAACTAAAGCATATATTCTTCACAGGAAGGATGACAACTCTTTGAAGTACTCTACAGCATCTAAGAAAGAAAGAATCCTACAAGTAGGTAAAATGCTGATAGCTTTGTTATTAAAACAAGTACAAAAGGACAACCTATCATTGCATTTAAATCAATAGAAACTATCTAATTTCTTAGGACAGAAGAGATCACACAAAGGTATTTGAATTACCTATGCCCCATTTTTTATTAAAAATTACCACTACCACAACTAATAACAAAAAGTTCAGTACAATTTTCTGAGACTTTTAGTTTTTAAAAAATTTCAAAAGGCATGAATTACTTTTATAATCATGAAAATATTAAACAAGCATTTAAAAAATTAATAACACTATTCGTAAAAAGGATAAATGATGCAACAAGCCCATTTCTCAATTTTTTTCCCAGCTAAAAATGGCAGAAAAGTAAGTCACTTACTTCAGCTAATAATCCACCACCACAGCCAACATCAAGAATCTTCATCCCAGACAAAGGTTTTCCTAGTTGGTGATTAGCAACTGTTTTCAAAAGATTGTCTCTTTTTAAAAAAATTCAAAATATATAAAAATAAATGATCAATTCAATCAACAAAAAGTCTTAAAAGCATACAGTTTTCAAGGAAATGTTAATTCCCATTTTTAATAGGTTATTAACTTTGGATAAATAGATCTTTTATTTTCAGCATTAGATGACTTTTAATTTACAAAATATTCTAGAGAGAAAAAAGGAAAAGAAAGGTGAAGTGGGGCAGGGATCTTATGAAAATCCAAGTGAAATCAGTAGATGAAAGGGTCTGGAGGGTGGGAAGAGGGGAGGGAGGGGGGAAGTGCTGGGAAGTGATACTGACCAAATTATATGGTTATATTATGTGCATGTACAAATATGTAACAACATTTCCCACCATATGTACAACTATAATGTACCAATTAAAAAGTGGAAAGAAAAAAATTTATAAAACATTTTCAATAATCAAAAGTAGAAAGTTTAGAGCAAAGCTCTAAAACAGAATCTAGTAGTAATTATGACTTAATTATTGCTTCAGTGATAATCTAAAGAAAAATAATCTAAATTGCTTTGATTAACCTAATTTTATTAAAACACTTTAATTAAACTGACTCAACAGAACAGATACAAATGCAAGGCACCTACTACATCATCAGTACTTGTTAGACCTTTATCAGCAAATAGGTTATTTCACAGGAATTTTATTCAAATATTTATTGAATCAAACTGTAGCAACAGGATGGGATACAAATATGTCTATTGGCTATATCATCAGTACTTGCTAGACCACTTTAGGTCAGCAATTTAGGTTATTTTATAGGACTTAAAGGAGAAGATAAGAGGGCTGGAATTGTGGCTCAGTGGTAGAGTGCTTGCCTAGCTTGTGTAAGGCACTGAGTTCAATTCTTAGTACCACATATAAATAAATGAATAAAATTAAGGTTCATCAACAGCTAAAAATATTTTTAAAAAAGGAGAAGAGATCTATATTTACAAAAGCTGTCCATATTCCCTTCCTAATTCTTCTTTTTTTTTTTTTTTTTAGTCATAGATGGACACAATACCTTTATTTTATTTATTTTTATGTGGGACTGAAGATCGACCCTAGTGCCTCCATGTGCTGCTACACAGGTACTCTACCACTGAGTTACAAGCCGAGCCCTTTTTGGTGTGTGTGGCGGGGGAGGGTGGTACCAAGGATTGAACCCAGGGGTACTTAACTACTGAGCGACATCTGCAGTCCATTTTATTTTTGAGATAGGGTGACTAAATTTGTTCAGGGCCTCGCTAAGTTGCTGATTCTGGCTTTTAACTTGCTATCCTCTAGTATCAACCTCCTGAGCCACTGGGATTATAGGTATGTACCACATGACTGGCTTCAATTTTCTTTTAATCTTCTAAATTAGTTGTATTCTCATGTATGAACAAGTAGGATGATATCTAATAAAGCAAACTTATTTCTAAGATGATCATAGTAATCCTTTACCACACACACAAACATATGTACATGTGCATATACACATGGTAGATATATACCTAATGGTAATGTAAAGTGAACTTTTAAGTCAGACTGCATATGAATTATAATTATATTTATATTAAAATATATATTACATATAATAAAGATCTTTGGCTATCCTATATTGCAAATAAAATTAATTGAATTCTTAGAATGACATGTATAATTCTTAGAATGACATGTATAATTCTTAGAATGACATGTATAATGACATTCTTATAATGATATGTATAATGTATAATGATAATGTATAATATTACTTTAAGATATTATAATACACATAAAGTACTCAATTCAAATGAAGTCCAATCCATTTTTCAACAGTCGAAATGACTCCTCTGTATCAAAATTTGTGTCACATCACTCTCTTCTGATGGCTTTTAGTTGTGCTGAAAATAAAATCTAAACTTGTAACCATATCTTGCACTGCTCTAGATGATTTGTTTTTATTTGATGTCTAAATAAAGATGTCACAATAGTTTGAATAGACATCTCAAACTTTGTATGCATCAGAATCACTTGGAAGGTTTGCTGAAACATAGACTGCTAATATCCTAGAACAGCAGGTCCAGGATGAGACCCGAGAATATGCATTTCTAATGAGTTCCTGGGTGACACTGATGCTTGCTGGTCTAGGGCCTGCATTTTGAGAACCAGTCATCAACAGTTCTGTTATTTTCTACCTTAGTTCAGTGATCCACAAATTCAGTGATAATATTTCCCTTTTTTCTGCACTGATTCTGGATGAACAAGCAAAAACTAATCAGAGAGTTCCTTTAGAATCTGAGTGTGATATTATATGACAATTTCAGGGTCTTACCCTTATGAGTTGTTCAAAAGTGTTTAATGAACAAATAAGTGGAGAGAAGATCAAATAAACTATTTCTTAAATGCAATCCCTGATGGTCTCTGGCCTTGCTTTATCTCCCACAGCAAATATGGACTGAAGCACATTCATGAACTGAAAGCCACAGCAGGTCAGTAGCTATAAAATGGCCTTGATGACCTAGGACCTGAACTCCCTTTTATAAGAACTAATTCTAATTAACTCATATGTCCAAATATGCTCCAAATTGAGTTATGGAAGCATCCTAGATCTTAGATAATGTTAATATAATAAAATAATAATGTTAATGATAATAAAAAATTAATGATTTCACATAGTGGACACTAAAGAGAATGTCCCTAATTTAAAATTTAGAATTTTGAACCTAAGTATAAACCAAGAGAAAAATGAATCCAAAACAAATGAATCTTAAAACGAGTTGCATTTTTAAAGATGTGGAGTTTCTGTTACCTAATAAATGGCACCCTCAGGTCGTTCATAGAATGAAGAGGAGCATATACTCCTTGTTCATCCCACCACTTATGAGCCAGGGCCCGGAAGGTTTTTACCTCACTGCTGTCAACTGTGGACTGTGAAGTACTATACAGTCTTTTCCAAGGGGACCTAAGAGGTGAAAACAAAGAGCCAGGCAAATAGTGCTATTTTTCAAAAATGTAATATGGGATAAACTGTGTAGAAAGATATTTTATTTATAATTTGTTACATTCTAAATACAAAGATTGCTCAATTTTAATGCTTTAAGACCAAGTTTTGTTATAATTGCACTATTCATATATATATTCACTTTTGCTTTCAAAGTAAATTACAACTAAAAACGGAACTTTATAAAACTTGGCCTTCTGGGTCACATCTAATAAAAAGCTACATTTATAGAACCTTTACTAATGCCAAGTACATGTCATCTCACTTCTTCAGACAACTCTACAAGGAAGGTACTATGATTATTCCCATTTTACAGATTAGAAAAGAAAGGCTCAGAAAGATTAAGTAAGAGGTGAAGCCAGGATTTGAACCCAGGTGCTTCCACCTTATTACTCCATTTCTACTGCTATCATCAAGTCCAAGCTCCCATCATCTCTGAACTATTGTCCCAGCCCTTTAATCAGTCTGGCTACTCCCTACCTCATCCCCTTACCATCTGTTCTCCATGATGCATACAGATTAATTACTCCAAAATATTAATCTGATTATGGTATTTTTTCATGTAAAATGTTTCTATGGCTTCCCAGTATCATTAGGCAAAAGATTAAAATCCTTAGCATGGTTTATAATGCTCAAAATTTTTGGTCACCCGTTTGCTCCCTCTCCAAATTCATCTCCTGTAATTCTCTTCATCCTCTCTAGTCACACAGGCCTTTTTTCAGTTCTTTGAACTGGCTATGTTTGCTCTTTCATCAGGCACTTTGCATATATTGTTCCCTCTGCCTAGAATTTTCTTCCCACATCCCTGTTTTCCTCCTCATTCATCAGCTCTCTTTTTTTTTATATATATATATTTATTTGTTAGGTATAGTTGGACATAATACCTTTATTTTATTTATTTATTTTTATGTGGTGCTAAGGATCGAACCCAGGGCCTCGCACATGCTAGGTGAGCACTCTACCACTGAGTTACAACCCCAGCCCCTCATCAGTTCTTAGTTTAAATGAAATGTCATCTATGAAGTCTTCCTTAATCCTCAAAATTGGGTCAAGTATCCTTATTTTATCTCCTATATCACTTCCTCCTGTGGTTGTATAATTATTTGGTCATGCCTGTCTCCCCACTAGACCATAAGCACTATGAAAGGCCAGCATGAACTGTCTCGCTTACCATTATATTCTTAGTGATTAGTACAGTTCCTAGAACATAGTTGATGCTCAGGAGACATTTGTCAAATAATCGAAGGAAAAGGCCTAGAAAAGTATATCATTCACCTAACATTTTTAATCACATAAGATCAAACAGGGACTAAACAGAAATTAGACAGATACTACACTGAGTTCGAAGTCACAGTAGAGTACAGAAAAGTACTCCAAAGTTCTGCTTGTGTTGCTAAGTTAGAAAGGTAATACCCATCAGTTTGTACTGCTTTTCTTAGCTACATATAGAGAATACATTCTAGATTCATTCATTCATTCTTCTTCTTTTTTTAAAGATTCAAATGCCACTTTTCTTTAATATTATCTTAGGAATATTGATTTCCTTTTCCATATTGAATGCATAGTCTTAGTAATCAAGAACTAATTAACAACGGATAACAGTGAGTTCAGTTGAATAAGAATGGCTTCACAGACACCCAATCTCAAAAGATCTCTTTTAAAAGAAATAGGACAATGCACTTGGAAATCAGAGTTCATCTGAAGCAATTATTTTTTACAAGGTTAGAAACTGGTTTATAAAATATAAATACAGAAAGTCATACTTTGACTCATTCTTACTACCTAAAATGTATACTTATCCACCTTGTCATATTTGTTTCTGATTTTAAGCCCTGCATTTTTTTTCAAGTAATACAGTATTCTAGTAAATATAAAAGCTATCTCTGAATCTGGATGAAAGATATGCGTGGGCTATATATTTTAACTTTTCTATGAACTTGAAATTTTTCAAATCTAAAAGTTGTTAAAATATAAATTAGTTAAGAATATTTAAATAACAAAAGCTACTATAATCAAAATACATGAACAATTGCAAACTAAACAAGTTTATTAAAAGAATCAGTACTAAACTACTTTAACATATAATTATGTAAATATTTTCCAGAGTAAAAAATAAACTCACCTGTAATTTTTTATTCTATTCAAACAGGAAAAGGTCATCCTACAGGATTTGAACCACATGGTTTTGTATTCATTGAAAACCCATGGTTTAATTTGTAGAGTCCAAGTGGGCTGATTCTCTGAATAAAGTGGGGAAAAAAGTTAAATGTCTAGAGAAAAGCATTGCACAGTAAGAATCCCTGATATACATGTAACTGAAGAAATTCCATTTTATATGGTAATTTTATGTTACATTACAACTATTTTTTTTTCAATTACAAAGGAGTTTTTACTCAATTTTAGATTCTACTCAAAACAAACAAACAAAAAATAACAAAATAAAGGTCTTATTCTCTGAAATCTAATTCTATCCAGATATTTCTGAAATTATAATTAGCAAAAATAAGTAATGCATATGTAAAAGCTTCTCACGTCATTAGCTTTTGTAGTCACATTATGTTGCACAAAATGACAAAAAAATGATGTTCTCATATAAAATGTCACCTTTTAAAACAGGATAATATTAATTCTGAGGTGATTTGTCAAAACTAGTTCAAATTCTGTCAATTCCATGTTAGTGACATTAAATGAATTTTTACATATGCTCAACACTGTTTACACAGGGGAAAAAAGTGTGTGTGTTTGTGTGTGTTTGTGTGTGTAGCTAAAATAAACACTCACCCAATCTATACGTTCAAATTCACATAGGGACTTGTTTTATGAATCAGTTACTCGGCTGCAGAACGTTTAGGTGTTCAGTAAACATTTAGGCAAAAAAGACTTATAACAAAGACTATTAACAGAGACAAAGAGTGATATTATATCACGATAACAGGAACAGTCCACCAAGAAACCAAGAAGATAATACAATGTATATGTACAAAATAATGGAATTTCAAAACAAATAAAGCTAAAATTGACAGCATTGAAAGGAGAAATAAACAAATCCATAACTACACTGGAAGATTTCAACATCCCTCCTTTCGTAATTGGTAGAACCACTAGACAGAAAATAAGCAAGGATACAGAAGAATTAAACAATATCATCAACAAATAAAATATAATTGAAATTTATGAAACACCCAAACTACAAAACAGTATACATTTTTTCAAGCATGCATAAAGCATTTATAAATATAGACCATATCCTGGAACATAAAACAAATCTTAACAACTTTAAGAGATTTGAAATCATACAAAGTATGTTTTTGACTATAAAAGAATCAAACTCAAAATGTGTAACAGAAAGATAACATGAAAAGAGCAAAACACCTGAAATTTAACAAATGCATAAGTTAAAGACAAAATCTCAGGAAAATAAAAAAACAATGAACCAAATGAAAATCAATATATCATATATAAAATTCTGTAAATGTTTTTAAAGCAGTACTTGGGAAACTTATAGAACTAAAATATTCATATTAAAATGTTGTTCTCAAATCAACAATCAAGTTTTATAGTTAAAATTATGAAAAACAGAGCAAAATAAACCCAAAGTAAACAGAAAGGAGGAAATGATAAAAGTAGAAATCAATGACATTGAAAACAAAACAAAAAAAAAAAACAGAGAGACAATAAATCAAACCTAAAGTTAACACACTGCAAGAATCAATAAAATTGATAAACCTCTAGCAAGACTGAATTAAAGGAATTAAAGAGGGTCTATCACTACAGACCTGGCAGACATTTCAAGGATGATGATGTACTACAAACTACAGAAATTCCACAATTAGACAAAATGGACTAATTCCATGAAACAACCAAAACTCATGTCAGATGAAAGAGAGAACATGAAAAGTCATATGAACACCAAAGAAATTGAATTCATAGTTAAAATGCTTCTAAAATATAAATTTCCAGGCTAAGCTGGCTTCACTGGAAAGTTCCACTAAACACTTGAAGAAGAAATAAAGACCAATTCTACACAACATCTTCCTAAAATACAAGAGAGACATTTCTCAGAGACATTTCTCAGAAATTAAACTGTTCCTACTGTCTATATAGTAAATCCCAAGGAATCTTAAAGAAAAAAAAAAAAAAAGGTACCTAATGTTATGGGCCAGGCTATATGGACAATGACCAAACAAGACTCCGTCTTACCCTGTGACTCCACATCATGTAAAAGCTGTTTCTTCTATGGGAAAGCCCAGCCTCTGTATCCATCAATAGTTGCTTAGCAAAGCATGTTTGGCAACACAAAATGGCCATTCTATTTTTTTTTAATATTTTTTTAGTTGTAGTTGGACACAAAACCTTTATTTTATTTATTCATTTTTATGTGGTCCTGAGGATCGAACCCAGCGCCCCACATGTGCTAGGCAAACACTCTACCACTGATCCACACAGCCCCAGCCCCACAAAATGGCAATTCTTATACAATGTAAAATCGTTCTCTCTTTGGTTCCCATTTTTCTTGGACAGTGTACCCTATCAGAGATTGATTGTCTAGATGTTAGTAACCATTCTTTAACTTGTACTCAACTAGGGATATTTTGACCCACTCCCCCTTGTGCTTATGATTTTAGATCTCATGACGTTTGTTTTATGGTTTTGAATCACTGCAACAGCCAGTTATGATTAATATGGTTTTGAACTATAAAATGTGTACTCAAACCCCAGAAGGGGGTCAAAGGGTATAGACTTGATTTTTAGGCCATTCACAGCATAGTCCAAAAACACTACAGTGTTCTAAAGAAAGGGGGGACAGGGACAGTTGTACTTTTAGGCTTTTGCTCATGTTATTCCCTCTTTCACCAACTCTCTCTGGTCTACCTTTAAGATAGTTACCTTTAGCCAGGCATAGTACTACACAACTGTAATCTTAAGTGACTTGGGAGGCTTAGGCAAGAGAATCACAGTACCCCAGTACCATAAAACAAAACAAAAACAAAATGCCACCCTCTTTATGACTTTGGGTAGGTAAATGAAATACTATTAAATAATTATATAAACTATGATGCATAGATGAGGAAATATAAGGTATTTTTATAAAATTGTGCCTCACAGATTTTAATAGTACCTGCCCTCTGATACTCCTTGACCTTCCTCTTATCTCCATTTCTGGAAAATGAATCTATTACTCATCAGTATTGCTAGAATTCTCAAGAGCTTTAAAAATCACCTTATTACAACTGAGTATGTATTAATAAACAGAATATAACCAATTCCTTTCCTAATGTGAATCCTTGTATTTAGATTTTAAATGAATGGGGATAACTTCACTTAATTAACTTGAAAGTCATTTATAGCAGACTCCACACTGTGAGTTAACAAAACAGGCAACAGACTTTTACCCTGACAACACTTTTTTTCCCCAGGAATCAATTCCTGTCTGGGTTGCTCTTAAGTTTGGAGCCCAAACTTGCCTCCATCTCAGCTGTGGAGTGTTTTTTTGTTTGTTTTGTTTTTTTAATTGATCACATTGCTCCTTTAATAATTTCCACTGTCCTCAGGATAAACAACCTCAAGAGACTTCATGAACTTGTCATGGCCTAAAAGGTCTCTTGTCTCACCTGCTGCCCTCCATTCACACACTGTTCAAGGAACACTTCGCAGTTTCCCACAAACCTTAGATTCTCAAGTTTGTCCTTTGGTGTCTCCAACTGCTTCTAACTATCCAATTCCTTCAAGACAGTTTCTATAAATACCTTGTTCAGAAAGTTTCCCTGATCCCAAATATAGATTCGATGCTCCTTCTATATTCACCCACCCCCAATTTGGAAATGACTTTATTCTTAATTTGATTATAAAAGACATGTTTATTGAAAAGTTTTTTTTGGGAAAGTATATAATATATGATAAAATGATTGAAAAGCACCTACTCCACCACAGGCAATCACTGCCAAAATTAGACATATATTTCCAAGTTCATAACACACGCTGATTTGTATCTTAACATACTTAAAAGCATATCCTAATTATTTTCCATGTGAATACAAGTGGATTTATATTGTTTTTATTTGACTGTACTATTTTTCACTGTATGAGAATACCAACTAGTCAACTCTGTTTGTAGGCTATTAGATTTACCATTTTTTAATTCATTATATCCCAATCTTGGTTCTATTATTAATTTTTTTAAGAAGAGACTGTTTACGTATCATTTTTTAATTCCCGGGGCCCATTACAGTTCCTATTATACAGTATTCGTTAAATGAGTTTCATGTAAACGAAGAACTTAACTTTTTGGTTAATACTGGGAGTTCAATAATTTGACGGTCACATACAAGCACCAAATGCAGATAGTTATTTTCTTGATCCTAATTGTAAACAGTCTGTTGAATGAATCAACGAATCAAAAAAGTAATACAGCTGCCTTAAATTCTGGTAAAAGGGGCAAGACATGTGCAAACAAAACACTGCTACGAATACCTAAGAAAAACCGACTGGTGTCTTTCAGGCCCTTGCAAAAGAAAGAAAGCACGACCTTGAGGCTCCAGTAATCACAGAGTGGGTTGATGGCTCCTGGGGCCAGGAACTTAACCAGAATGAGACTAAGGTCGTTGGATACGTTGCGGCCGCCCGCTGGCTGCCCTCTCCCCGGACAGTACCACTAACCCCTTAGCTTTTTCTTGGCCTCTGCAAAAATGAGCATGATAACACGGTCCTGCAGTTGAACGCAGGGCAAAGTCAGAAGCCAAGCTACAGATTTTGCGTTGAACCAGCGCGGAAGCCAGGGACACCGCAATGTCCCGCCGCGCCTGCGCAGAACCGCCAGGCCCCACAGTGGGCGCCTGAGGGACTTTAGCACATACTCACCCGCCCAGGAAATTAGGCGAAGACGCTCCGCCTGTGTGCCCCGGCACCCAGACCCAAGCACTCTTAAAAAGCGACCCCCAAAGAAGTTCAGCTTCCAGCCTCCCCACATAGTGGCAAAGGGTCCCACTTCTTTTCCGGTTCCTCTCTCCGAAGATCCCCAACAGAAAGGTTCCGAGACCCACTCGCGCCATCTACTGCCGGCTTCTGTGATTATTTTTATCATGAACTTGTTGCAAGTTCTTTTGAACATCTAGCAAATTGTGGATGCAAATGAAACTATAAATTGCTTCCAATAATATAAATGGTCGTCTCCTGTATAACCTCTGACTATTCCTATATGACCACCCGAAAACCTCATAGTCATAGTTAAGTATAAAATCATGCACTACTTTGTGCTTTCATTCCCTTGTAGTTCTAACAAATGTCTCCCCAAGGACATTTGTCTCCATGTAAGACACCGACCCTAATGATTAAAATCACGAAAAGTATGGAAATACTTATTCTTTACGTGTAACAGTTTCCCTTTCAAAGGCACTCAAATATCAGATGGCAAAGAGTCTTAATTTATGTTGTGTTTTGTACTGGGGCTTGAACCCAGCAGTTTTATCACTGAGTCCCCAGCCCTTTTTAATTTTTGAGACAGGACCTTGCCAAATTGCCCACGCTGGCCTAGAACTTACCACGCTCCCGTCTCAGCCTCCAGTATAGCTAGGATTACAGGTGTGTCACCATGTCCAGCTCAGGAGCCCAAACTTTTAAATTGCTGCAAATGACATAATCTCCTGGACAGGATTATGTATCCAAAGACATTCAGCCTTGGTAAACTTCCATGTGGAGCTATGAATAGTGGTGACTTTTTTTTTTTTGTTTTGTAATTTTTTTTTTGTAGTTGTAGATGAGCAGAATGCCCTTATTTTTATTCACTTATTTTTAATGTGGTGCTAAGGGTCGAATCTAGTGCCTCACACATGCTAGGAAAGCGCTCTGCCACCGAGCAACAGCCCCAGACCACATTTTACTTTTGAATATATAAAAGGCCTTTCCTTAGGTGATGTTGATAAATTTTCAATGTTGAAGGTAAAAATTTTATTCTACCAGGCAGATCCAAATAAGTAAAGGTTCTCCGAACGAGTGAAGTTTGTTACTCAGGAACAGTCTTTCCACCTATAGCTAAAATATTGACCTCCTCTTTAACAGTGGTTGCAGGCTTCTCAGCTGCTATGTCTTCTTCAGATTTCCTCTCTCCTTAGATACATGACCATACCTCCAAATGAAGGCAGAAAACTCTGCACAAAAGAAAATTTAGCATGTATTATACATATTTGTTGAAGTGACAGATTCAAGGGAAATATGGATTTAAAGTTCTAATGGTTTTATTTGCACCATACCACACGGGTTTCAAAGCCTTCCCAGTTCAACAAAGGCGATCAATGATTTGCCTAAATACTGATAGGAAACAATGGCTTTTTGAATCATCAGAACTGTTTGGCCCAGATACATTAAGAGGGTCATGGTACTTTTCTCTACAAACATCAACAAAAGGTTTTTCCAATGATCCTAAACCTCAGCTGTGTTGGAAACAAAGTTGTGTTGGCTATAATGCAGTGTATGGTCAGTGATGGGGATTATTTTCCAAGTATCTCTACGGTCTCACCCATAAACCTGTTGTAAACTAGAGTTTACTAGTTTATTTTCCTATTTCGCTAGAAAATTCTAATACCTATCCAATATTTCATAATTTGGCTTTATAATTTTATGTAATAAACTTTTAAGGGAAAAGTGCTTCCTTAATGGTTAACAAAGTTTTATACTTTTGAAATGATATATTCCTACGTCCACTCTATTTAGCTGGTGTATTTACTCAAAATTCTACAAAAATTGGTAATTTAAAATAAATGTATCATAATTTGCACTATCACAATTAGAATGTGACAGATTTAACTAATGTACAAGAAAACTATGGATGATACCTAGTAAACTTTTATAATATAAATGTAATGCATATTATGTATTATGTGCATAATTTGATAGCTAATAAAAGCTCACTTTTGCTTTTAGATTTGACACTACAATCATATTCTACTTAAAACTGAAGCACTTGGGCTGGGGCTGTAGCTCAGTGGCAGAGGGCTTGCCTGGCACATGTGAGGCACTGGGTTCAATACTCAGCACCACATAAAAATAAAAATAAATTAAATAAAGGTATTGTGTGTGTGTGTGTGTGTGTATAAACCTGAAGCACTTAAGGGCTGGAAGAGAACATCTACTTTGTTCCTTATACAAGCTAAAGAAATAGAAGGCCACAGTAATTTAGTGATTTTCCTAAATACATCAATTTAGCAGAGCCAGGTCAATCCAATAACTCTAATGCTACTTCCATACTTAACTATACTCAGTACATTTTAGAAGTTTGAAAAAATTAAAGTAAGTTTATGTAGGAGGGGAAAAAAAAGTTTAAATGTAAAGGTGTCCATAGGCAATATTATAGGAACTTTGGGTCTACCACAACTCCTATGTAAAAATTCCCAAATAAAAATTTTAAAACTCAATACCATTACAGTTCATATGTTTCTTTGAAGCAACAATTCACACTAAAAATGGACTATGTTTGAAAAATTTACTATATAATACCATTAGAAACATGCTAACAAAAGGTAAGTCTACAATGGTAGAAAACATGTACACTAATGAGATTCCACACCAATCGTTATTTATGTTTTTGGGGCCTGTGACAAATCTTATAATTATCTCTTCTGGATTTCACTTTATTCTCTTAATGGTGTGGTTTACCCCCCACTTCACAAAAATCAAGTATGATTAATACACCAGAAATATTTTTAAAGAGAATTTCTTAAAAAAGACATTTTTAATAACCAAGGCAGAGCAATGACTGTCTCAAAAAATGAATTTATAAACTTTGTGGTAGTGTCATTTTAGAAAAGATTTCATAACCAAACTACACATCTAATTATTAATTTATAATGTATAAGTTACAGCATTCACCTCCTAAACCATGGAAGGTGATTATAAAAATCTTACCACTAGAGGTAAACACTTCATCACATGTCAAGGAAGTGATTTCTCTAAATTTTCCATAAATATATGATTATTTAAATACATGAAAAACTCAAAATTTTTAATTCTTTTTTAAAAAAATATTTATTTTTAGGTGTAGATGGACACAACACAATGCCTTTATTTTTATGTGGTGCTGAGGATCAAACCCGGGTCCTACCGGTGCTAGGCGAGCGCGAGTGTTCTACCGCTGAGCCACAATCCAAGCCCCCAATTTTTTAATTCTAACACTGATATTCCTAATAAGAATCACAAACATCATGATGGTTTAAAAAAAAAAAAAACCCTACAGATTTAACTGATAAGAATCTTACAAATTAGGGCATAGCAAATAAAATTATCAACTACTACTTTTGGCTCTAGTTCCTATCTCGTCCAAAAATGTGTATATCATAGCCAGCAGAATTTTTCTGTAGAATTTTATTTTGAAAATAATATTTCACTTGATGATTAATCTAAAAAACATCTTAAGATATGAAAATGTTATACAACTTATCTATTACAAATTAATCAGATAATCCAATTAGGTACACTTCAATTAGCTTACCTACATATAAAATATTGCACATTTTCCTTTGTCTCCAGATATGACTGATGTTTAAACTATATAGAATTTCAAACTAAGTTATTCTGTGAAATGTCAACTTTATAAGAACTAAATGCACTGTAAACAGCCATTTTGGTAAACATGCATTTATTCACAGTTGATTTATTTCCTTTAGATAAATGCGTAACTGCTCAAAATTATTTAAGAACCTATGTAGAGGTACAGGAGCACTATACAGATCTATTTTTATCTTCATTGTGAGGAAACACTGACCTTGGCAAAAATCTGGCATTATTTTTCAAATGAACTATTGCTGGTAAAGAAGGCATACTTTAAAACACTTTTGTGTTCTGCACTTGCTTTTTCTTTTTAAAATTCAAATTTAAAAGCATTTTTCAGAGATTCATCTATCACTGCATAAGTGCCTAAAAATAAAAAATGGACCCTGAAAACAGTTGAGCACTTAAGTTAAAATGCCTTGAGAGCCCCATTCTTCTTATAAGTTGGCTGCCTTAAAGTAAACCACCCCAAATGATCATAATTACCATTAACTGACAAAAATCAGACAATTTTAATGTTATGTAATTGACACAAACCTGCATAAACACCATTTCTCCACTGAGTTGAGGTCATATTATACTTTAAAAATATAAATAAATATACTGAATTGTAAGTCCTATTATCTATAGTAACCCCAAGGTGTTTAAATATACTTGTAAAACAGAAGTGAACTGTAAAATATAGTTCCAGAGTTGACCATTAATGTCAAATACAATCATTCATTACAAATAACTACTGGTGCACTGGCTTGATTGATTCTAGCAATTTCATTTTACAGGAGTAAACCATTATTTAATACACATAGAGAATATATTACTTGAAAATCCCCAAAATAAGAAATTTAGAAAGCTGATTAAATCCTTCCAAATGAAAAGTAAAGGTCTATTTCTGGCCCTCTTCCATACCCTTAAAGTTAGAAATTGACAAAAGTCCATGGGCACAATTTACAAACTTTGACCAACTACTAAGTTAAAACCGTTTTCTTTGGGGGAAGTGGGAGGAAGTACCTTTAAAACCTGTTATACAAAATTCCAGCTGCCTTTTTATAAAAGTACGTTCCTTAGATTAAAATCATAAAATTACGGTGCAAGAGTTTAACAAAAATGAACTAAAGAGCTTTATTGACATCACAGTACATTCGAGAATAATTTTAAGAACATTACAGCTGAAAGAGAATGGCATGTTTATAGTCTTATTATGCACTATTTTTTGAAAAAAATGTAATACAAAGAAATCCTATTAAGTAACTTGGAGCAGCATTTGGAAAAAAATACACCTATTTACAGATTAAAAAAAAAAAAAAATTCTGGTTTCACCTACACAGCCACAATGTGCCTCTATAATGAGACAAGCCCTTAAAACTCATGGAATTTTTTAAAACAACATCATGGCATTCTTGCCACATCATTCCTCAGCGCTTACGACGGGGAGGGGTTGTTGATCTGGAAAAAAAAAAAAGGGAAAAGACAAAATTTAAAAATAAAAATGTGTTTGAAATTAAGAATCTGCAATTTAAAATAAATAGTATTATATAGGATTTCTAACATTATTTAAAACTATGATCATTTATCAAGTACCAAGTACCAAACTGAGTTTATTAAAGAGAGAGAGAGAAAGGACACTTTCAACTTTGAATAAATTCAGTCAAATTTTTTTTTAAAAATCAGACAAAATACTTTAAAAAGTATACTACCTTGATCGGGACTTAGACTTGTGTTTGCGGCTTGCCTTCTTACCAGACCTTTGAGATTTCTCCATGGATCGCGACCGACTATGTTTAGGCTTCTTAGCCTTCTTTTCTTTGCTACTTCCTGGAGATTCAGAACTGCTCCTTCCACTAGAATCAGAGCCTGAATGCTTTTTACTATCTTTGGTAGTACTTTTCTTACTATCCTGTCTAGAATCATGTCTTATGATTTTAACAGATATAGAACCACTCCTAGAGAATGTTCTTTCACTTTCTCGTTTCCTTTTTAACCTATCATCTTGACTACTGAATTTAAAATCTTTTTCTTCCCTTTTTTGTTTCTCTTTTCTTTTATCCTGTTCACGCTCCCTTTCCTTATCTTTCTTTTTCCTATCTTTATCTACACTTCGACTCCTTTCCTTTTTCCTCTCTTGTTCTTTAGCCTCACCTTTATGCTTATGACTGCTCCCACTAAGATTTCCACGTTGATCCTCAATTTTACGCCTATCTCGACTCCTACTGCGACTGGAACGACTGGTTCGTCTATCCCTCGAGCGACTTCTACTTCTACGTCTCTCTCGGGAAGGACTCCGATTTCGTCGTCTTTCTCTTTCAAGGCTACTTCTATTAGATCTTCTCCTATCTCTAACCTTAATCCTAGCCCTATTACTCTCTATTTTAATTCTGCGAGAGTAGCTTCTACTTCTGCTACGTCTAGCTTTAGTTGTTGGAGATCTACTCCTACTATGTCTCTTTTTCCTTTTAGGAGAAGAAGACCGAGAAGATGTGCGACTACTACCTGAGCTAGAACTGTATGAAGAACTAGAGACAGTACTACTAGTACTACTAGTTCTGCTATTGCTACTGGAACTACCACTACTAGAACTTCCTGATCTACTCCTCCCTTGTTTCTCTTTTTCTTTATGCTCTTTTTTTGGTTCTAAAACTGACGTATTTTCATTCGGAGTTCTTTTCTTTTCATTAACCAGATCACCATCTGCTTCTCTTGCTTCTAGCAGTGATAAACTATTTTGCTCTTTATGGATAAATTCATTCATCTCTTTTGCAACCCTTTCTGTTTGTTGCTTTTCTTCTGAAACAGAAAAAGACAAAAAGAAAGGCTATGAAAAGTTGAACTTAAAACAAAAAAACCTATACTACCCAAATTTCAAGGTATCAGGTTCTAACAATAAAGCAGCACTATTTAATAGAATTAGTATATAAACAACATAAGAAATTCAAAAATTGTCTAGTAGCCACATTAAAAAGGTAAAAAGAATCAGAAGGAATTAATTAGAATGTTTTATTAACCCAATATATTAGAACTGAATATTCTACTTTTTTAATGTATAATCTTTGAAATCTAGTATGTATTTTATACCTTACAGCACCTCTCAGTGTGGGCTAGCCACATTCTAAATACTCAATAGCTACATGTTACTAATTAGCTACCATTCTGGTAGTCACAAAGAGTATTAAAGTGTGGAGATGCATATGAAGGGAAAAAAGTTTTCCCTTTTGTTCAATTACAGCAACTTAAGGAAAGTAAGTGATTCATAGAAAAATTTGAGCAGGTAACTCTTAAAAATCATCTTTAAAAATTGTCTAACGTTTTTCAAAAAAGAAATTCTAATATTCTCTTTCATTATTCCTAGTATTATATAAACCCTTAAAAGCAGCCCTCAGGTAAAGTATTTTAAATAAAAAATTTCAAGGCCTTCTTTCCTTATGCCCATATATCCAACCTACTTGTCAACAGTCTTACAAATAACATTCCTCCACTTAAAAAAATCTTCTTTTTCATTTCAACAATTTTAACAAAAAATAAAGTTGCTCTAAATAGATTAGCTTACAGCCACTGGAATGAATGGCTCCTAAAACAATGAAAAATTTGTGACCTTGGTTTCAGTTATAACACATATTACTTGAAATCTAGACTCAAAATTCATTCTATCCTGATAGTTTAAAAGATATACCTTCCATCTGTTTATCATGTAATAGCTGTTGTTCTTTCTCTTTTCTCCAAAAAGCTTCCTGTTTTTGCCGGATTCGGTGCCGCAATTCTTCATCATCAGTGTCAGATGACTCAGAGCCTCTGTCGCTCCTCTCATCTTCACTGTCTCCTGATCCGTAACCACCCAGTCCACCTGTGTGCATAAAGCTCAGTCTATCATATGAAAAAATTATGCTATCATTAAAAACTTTTTAAGGTCCGAGAAGAAAGCTCATTTTTTTATTATTGCCTTTTCCTGGAAGAATATGCTTATTCGGGGTGGGGAGAAGCATAAATTCAAATGTTTAAGGAGTTTTTTGAACACTGAGACAACTTTATATCTTATTCTTTCTGGGGTATTTTATATATTTTTCACCATTATGGAATCATGATAATGGCTGTTTCACTATCCACACTAGCCAACAAAACCATTTAACAGGGTAGTAATAGTCTCACTAAAGCTTAATCAATTCAACTATCTTAATAGAATTTATGATGATTCTGAAAATATTTCTAAAGTTAAATCTTTCATTGTCCAAAGTTTAGGAATCTCAGGTAGGATACTAAGCATTTTTTCCCTAAAATTAGTATACTGTAATTCTCATTGGTACAAAACTGATATGACACTGAAACTACTCCCCACCCTGAAGTGATCTAAATAGTAACCATAACAAAACCATATGGGCATTTGGTTTTACCCAGTTCTCTTGTGCCTCACAAAATTTATGAAATGAAAATGTAGAAAAGGCAAATTCAAGTTTTAGAACCTTGATAATGTATCATGCAAACAGCAAATTCTGAACACATCACTACAGTTATCCTATGATAAGTAGACCCTTTTCTCTATATTAAAACTTGACTTGTTGCAATACAATTCATATAAAAGCCATTAAAAGCATTAGTGGATAGACAAATGCCTAAGGTATGTATGCAATAATTCTGAAAGTGAGCTTAGATACTATCATGGCTAAATTATGACTTCTTAAGTACAAACTATATATATATAACTATACATTTATACAATATACATATTGGAGCAATTAATGAGGAAATCCTTCATTCAACTTGCCCCAATAACCTACAATTAACCATTACATTTCTAATAGTCCGAATATGACTGCTTTAAGTAAAAAAATAAATAAATAAATAAGAAAGCTTTTTAGAAACTGATATAACCCTGAGATCTAGGTTTTATAAAATGAGTAAGAATAGTGCAGTTTCAATACAGAACATGTGGAGAAACAAGGTAAGTGTGATTTTTTTTTCCCTTTAGGCCCTCTCACAAATAAGGAAAACACTTACCGAGTCCAGAGAGGGAAGCCAGTGCACTGGACTGTGCCAGCTGTTTTGCAGGAGCTTTGTATCACATCAACAACAGGAACAACATGTTAACACAAATAGCCACGATTTCATAGTCATGAGAGTCTATGGTATTGTTAAATCTACTACTATTGCTGCTTTTTGGGGAGAGAAGAAACATTAAAAACATAACATTCATTTTAAACCAGTAGCATGTCTGGCTTTGAAATTTTAATTCTGATGTGAGCTGAAATTGGTTTATAACTAGGAAAAATGTTGACTAGTACAACTGTATTTCTGAGATACAGCACATAATTTTTGTCTTCAATATGTATTTAAAGTGTTACTAAAATCATGGGGGGCTGGAAATCACTTGTTTCTGTGAGAATTATAAGTGATAAAAATGAAAATTCACAAAGTGCAAATTAAAAATTCATTGTCAAATATATTATACTATAAGTCATATATTGATACCATGGTATCTATAAAAAAAAAAATCAGGTGAAATAAATTGAACATCAGAAATTTGCCACAATACATGTTATAGGACAACAGCATGATTGCTAATTTGTGTTCAGGTAGGTCAGATAAATATATTTGTATAGTTTTAATATGGTATTTATGAATCTAATCTTTCCCAAAGAGTTAAAACATGCATGGAGATTATTTAAATATCTATATAGTAATTCAGAGGACAACAAAAGTCCAAAATAATCAATAAAACCAAAATTCCCCCAGAAAAACAAAACCAAGAACACCCACAATATACCTTTCGTTGCTTTCCGGTGTGCATCTTTGGCTACATAATAAATTTCTTCGTCTGTGACATCCAACAGAATTTCAGTCAGAAGCATTTTTGTCAGCAACATCTAAGGAAAAATATTTATACACAGTTTCTTATTTATTATTATAGTTAAGAATACAGCTTGGTATTTTCAAAAAGTTAAAATTCAAAGCCTTTTTTTTTTTTCTTTTTGGTACTAAGGACTGATTACTGATTACTACTGAGTGCATTACCACTGAGCTGTTTTTTTTATTTTGAGACAGGGTTTTGCTAAGTTGCAGAGACTGGCCTCCAACTTGTGACACTCCTGCTTCAGTCTCTCAAGTCACTGGGATTATAGGTATATGTCACTATGTGTGGCAAAAACACTTCATCAAGCATCATTTTGAGATCAGAGCAGCCATTCCAAGAACAATCTATCTTGAAAGCTATTCTAAAACACTGAAACTTAAAAATTTCAAAGTCATGAGGATTAAAAAAAAAAAAAAAGTTCATCTATAGAGACTGAATTCTTTGTTTTGTTTGTTTTTACTTTAATTTTTTTTAAATGTGGTCCTGAGAAGATTGAACTGTGTCTCACATGTGCTAAGAAAGCGTTCTACCACTGAATGACACTTCTGCCCCCAAACACTGAATTTTTATTCTAGAATGACACAAAAAGTTAAAAGTTTCTAATAAAAATTTCTATAGGTGCTTTAAAATTAAAGAAGTAGGCTTTCGTTTAATAATACTGGTAAGCAGTACGGTATCAGTTTCTTAATCACTTCTTAAGGTTAGGTTAAAAATATCAATGGGGGAGAGGGCAAGGAAAGTTAAGGACTACCAGATGAAGTTCTTTTATTCTTGACTACCATAATGTAACTCATAAACTATATCAGCTATTTAAATAAAAGTTAATGTCACGTAAGATGGAGAGTATACTAGGTTTGGAGTATGAACTGGATTTTTGCACTGATTTGGCTACCAAGAACTGTTTGAAATGTAGACTCTTAGTCCCCTACCCTCTCTATGCTTCTAATTACCCATCTATTAAAATGAGAGCAGATTGAATTGATATTATCTCAATGTTTCAAAGACCTCTGGTCTTGCAATATGGGAAGTACATCACATTATTCTCCTAATCTCACAAACTGACAATATACTTTATAGATAACAAAGGCTTTAAAAACTATTACAATGAAGAAATACAATTAACTCTGTTCAATCCCAGTGCTTCCTAAACTTATTTTTCTGTAAATTCTTCTAATCTTTCTCAGTATTTCTACTTAAAAAAACAAAACAAGGGGCTGGGGTTGTGGCTCAGTGGTAGAGCACTTGCCTAGCATGTGTGAGGCCCTGGGTTCGAGTCCCAGTACTGCATATAAATAAAATAAAGGTCCATTTACAACTAAAATATATTAAAAAAAAAAAAAAAACACCTTAGAAAATAACGGATCAGGGCTGGGATTATAGCTCAGTGGTAGAGTGTTTGCCTAGCATGAGAGAGGCACTGGATTCACTCTCAGCATCACATAAAAATAAATAAATAAAATAAAGGTATTGCCAGGCACAGTGGTATGTACCTGTAATCCCAGAAACTCAAGAGGCTGAGGCAGGAAGATGGTGAGTTCAGAGCCAGCTTCAGCAATTTAAGGAGGCCCTAAGCAACTCAGTGAAACACTATCTAAATAAGATACAAAAAGGGATGCAGATGTGGCTCAGTGGTTAAGCACCCCTGTGTTCAATCCCTGGTTCCAAAATAAATAAATAAAAATAAAGGTATTGTGTCCATCTACATCTTAATTTTTTTTTTTTTTAAGTAAGTGATCAACATATTCTCTTGGGTCTCAACCAGTAAAATCCTGTTTAATTACATCACTGATATTAAGAAACGAGCTTAATAACTGCTTTATAGGTTATGATTTTGTGATTTATTTATATTATTCGAATTCTTTCAGGGTAGTAGTGGTAGGGGTATTATTTGAATCTTGTAGACATAATTTGCCTAGCAATCTACATATATGAAGAAATAGTTCATAACTGTTTCAGATTCCTCCATTTAAATGTTTTAGATAACCAATCACTTTTAAAACGTCATACACAAATCCTTATACATAATAAGAACTTAACATGATACCATTTGATATTCTTTCTCTTCTTCAGTCATCTCTGGTTCACTTTGCTCTTCCTGAGGAACTGGAGATGGACTTCTGGTGATTTTTCCACTGCTTGCAGCCTCAATGTTTTCAGTATCTTCATCTTCCTCATCACTATCCTACAAAAATAATTAGCAGTCCAAATTGATGTATAATATAAAATCTTTATGAAAAATACAAAACCTGAAGTTTAAGTTGATGAAACAAAAACATACAAGTGAAACTGCTCTCTGAATTACACTGTTTTTCTTATTTGGTGCTGGGATCAAACTCCTGGATGCTAAGCATGTGTTCTACCACTGAGCACCCTTCTAGCCCCTCTAAATTACGTTTTTGTAGTACAGATTTCATTTGGTAGTTTAAAGTATAACCCATGAAGGAATGTAAAGAGGCTGATGAAAATCAATTATTTTTTCAATTTTCTTTTCTCTTTGGTCAATTTTGAACTTATTTTATAAATAACCAGAAAAATATCCCAGTCAGAGACAAAATTTAATTGATATCCATTATACAGGATGGCCCCAAAATAAGTGGCTTGTAGAATTTTAGATAAATGGACCATAGCAGTACTAGTCAAAATAATTTTTACAACTATATATTTAAGCCATTTACCTAACATGTGACTTAATATGAAAAATCCCTGGTCGGTTCCAAGATCTCAGCTTGCCCTGAAACTTAACAGTAGACAGATACATAAGAAATTAGGTTTACTTGAGACTAAGAAAATGCCAGCAGTTTGTCTGTATCTCTTTATAGTTTTAGGTTTCAATGTCTAGATACCATACCCTAAAAAGGGGACCCTTGCTTAGTCAAAAACAACCACAGCAGCAGCAACAAAACCCAAAAATCCCATTATCATAACTCCTTGCAATGCTATTAAGAAAAAGATAAGATAGCTATTTAAATACTATTATGGAAAGACTATTTGAACCAAGGGACAAATATATGCAATACAAACACAAAGGCATTTGGGAGGACAATCTCCAGTTTTTTGAAGACACTAAAAGAAATCTGGAGAGCCACTGTGTCACATAAAGATCTTCTTTGATCTTTAGAAAAGGTAAATTCTAATGGTGTTTATTCTTTCTCATTTCATAACATCTATATAGATTTGGCAGAGGTGTTTTGGAAGAAAAATAAAATTAACCTAAGATCTTTGAGGAAAACCAAAGACCAAAATCCAGTTATCCTGCTGTACTTGAAACTTACCTTTGAAGCAGAAAATGGCCCTGAGGGGAAGACCCGTTTCCTGAGTTACATATTGGGTACTGATGTGGCTGTCATACCAGCTAGGAACATGTTAATGCTGAATAGAAAAATTCCTAAACTTCTCATGCCATTTAACTGATGAATGAAGATTAAAAGACTTAAAACACAGTGATTTTCAGTACTCATGTCAACAACAATGAAATATATTACATCCTTAGGTGTAAGTATTTACTCATAAGAAGGGCAGAGTTATTTTCTCTATTGCCATTTAAGTTTTTTTTTTTTTTTTAGTTGTCAATGGACTTTATTTTATTTATTTATATGCAGTGCTGAGAATCAAACCCAGTGCCTTATACATACTAGGCCAAGTGGTCTACCACTGAGCCACAACCCCAGAGCTCTACTGCCATTTAATATAGTTTTAGGGAGTCAGCTGAACAAGAATGAAAGAATATAGATTTGTTTAGACCAATTCAGAATCTGATGGAATAATCTCTTTCTGGAATAAAATGTTTTATAAACTCATAATTCCTCTTTCCTTCATCTACTTTTTCCCCATAATACATTAAACAATAAACCCCAGAATACTTACTGCAAGTAATGTCAGAAACATTAATTTTTCTTATAATTATCAATCTCAAACTTTTTGCACAGACAAAATTATCACAGGGAGTTTCTTGCCAAAGGCTTCTACTTACAAATTTACTTCTCTGAGGTAAGCGAGGGCCATCTCCTCCTTCAGCATCTTCTGTGGCCTTCTTTTCTTTTTTGGACAACTGTGAACGTTGTTGTTCCATTCTTTCTTTTTCTAATTTCTTCTGCTTCTCACGTTCCATTTTTTCAAGACCTTCACGAATCCAAGCTGGAAGAGTCCTGCGTTTTACTGCATCTGTTTTACACCAAAAAATATATACAAGTCAGGCAAAAATCATAACAATTGAGTTCCTTCTACAAGTTTTCTACAAACTTGTGAGTAAAAATAAAACACAAAGCCCATCAATATCATGTTTTTCTTTAAAACCATCCCATTTTCAAAGTAATATCAAATATGTTCAAATGCTTATAATTTGCCAGGGCACAATTAAAAAAAAAAAAAAAAACACACTAAACTGTCACCTCATTTAATCCTTACAAAAGTCAGAAGAGATTACCATTATTATCTGATCTCTTTCATAGGTGAAGAAACTGAAGCTTAAAGAGATAAATGAATATGCATAAAGTTAAAAAGTCAGTAATATGTGTGTGGGTGAAATTCTATATTAAGTTGTTTCCTAAAATATGAAAGCAGAGTCAAATAAAAGCACAACTAAATTTTCACACTAAGAATTCATTAAGTTAAAAAAGCCATAATTAGAATCTTCCTAAAATATAAAAAGAAAAGACTTTAAATGTTCTAGTCAATTAAATGTTAGATGATTTGTAACTTTCCAGATAAAAGTAGTATTTATGTAAACTGGCACTGGCAATAAATTAGCTTTAAGGTTATTTAAAAATTGAAGTTTTCTGCCAAAATACTTATGGAGAGTGAAATAATCAAAGGAAAATTAATTTGGCCACAGTGTACCAGATGAACTGAAAGTAAAAAAAGACCCAAGATGGAGAAGAGTCAGGTTTAAAAAGGGAGAACTGTTCATAGAACTGCATAATGTACTGAAATATCAACATTGAAGAAAACTGCAAGATTCTCTAGTCAACAAAAATTGCATTTTATCACAAAATATAGAACTTAAGGTAAATATTTAAAGACTATTCAAAATCTTTTATAAATCAGCATCTTTTGTGTAATTTTAAGGTTTTATATTATTAAAATGATAGGGTTTTCAAGCACCAATTTTTAACATATCAGAGGCATTAAAACAATTTAAGAAAATAAAGACACCCTTTTTACAGTGATAAAGAAATCATGCCAATTGTGGTTCAACAAACTTAAATAGCTACCAATTTGTGGAGGCTCCTGCTTCACAGGAAGTGCAATAGGTGAGCGTTGCCGATCCCTGAATGATGATGGCCTTTCTCTCCGATTCTGGGGAGGTGCTGGAGGTCCTGGAGGTCCTGGTTGCCAATAAGGAGGATGAAATCCACCTTGCGGTGGACCAAAAGCAGCCCCATGCTGAAAGAGTATTGCATTTTATTTTTCTTCAATTTAAAAAAATACACTCTCTGGGACACACGTGTGTTATGAACTGGGACAGTAGAAATCCATGTGTGCAGCAAATCCAAGAACTCCATGGTTCTAACATCCACCGATATTTCTGTAAGCCCCAAGAACCTAGGCTTACTTCTCTTAAGAAAGATAAACATTTTTGCCTATTAAATGTAAAGAGCCTTCTAAAACTCAGCTGATACACTATTTTCAATTGTATAGAAGCCCTACTGGCACCAATACATGAAATATCAAATTTTCTTTTAATTAGAAAATATAGGAAATTTCTTATCAATTTAAACTTCCTTTTTCTACTGAACTCAAGTTGTTCCTATAATTCTGCAGAATCTATTTATATATAAGCAAAGAAAGAAATGAATTATTACAGTAATTTTTTTTTTTTTTTTGCAATTCTGCTATTTTTCAGAGGCTTTTCTAAGGCCTGTTGCCAATAAAGAAAATTCTTTGTCTTGTTAGCATGGGATTCACAAGTAAAATGGGTAAGTAGAAGCTCTCTATCACTATGTTTCTTAAAAAAATAAAATAAAATAAAACCACCATATACGTATAGAAAGTGAGAGCATACAACCAATATCTGAATATATATTAACTCGATCTCAAGGCAAATACACTACCAAATTTACCTTGGAATTAGCGAAATATTATATGGGGTTTTTCAAATTTTAAATCATGACAGCTCTGTTTATAAAGTAACAACTGCAATCAGTTATTTCAAAATGTCATCTAGCATTATAACTTATGGGTAGACCATAGCAGAGTAAATACAGAAAATAAAGTCTCACATAATAACACTATTCCCCATAGAGTTCTATGTCCCTAGGAATGAACTGGATGTTACAAAGGATATCATGTACAAGTCCATTAACATGTCATGTCGGAATGGGAAAACAACAACAACAACAACAACAAAGCCACTAGAAAAGTCATAATTCTACATAGCAGAAGGACCTAGAGTTAGGAAGATGATCTATGTTCATGTGTATTATTAACGTCTTAAAAAATAATCTATTATTGATAAATAATGTATTCAACTACTGTGCATTTTCTAAACTTTATTCAATATTTAAATGTATCACTTTGAAATTAGAAACAAAGAATCATATAACTATTGAATTTATACATTTTTTTAATTTTACCCAAAATTTCCTCTAATGTTTCTTTATACTGTTTTCCTAATCAAATAAAAAATCAGAAAATAAAAATCTAATAATTGTAATAAATTGACAACTTTTCTGAGACACTGTACATGCTTATCTGTACAACTCTGAAAAGTGAAACACATATCTTAGGTATTCTTGATGAGATACTTCCAAAAATGGATTACGTGCACATCTACAATATTAAAGCAACAAAATATCTTTCACCTGATAGTCAAACTGGTTCACTGGCCCCACTGCAAAATTATCGGGTGGTCCACCAAAGTTGTGATTGTTCTGGTTAAATATATGCCTGTTGTCAGGGGCAAATTCCCCACTGTCCTGACTGTTGCTGTCTTCAGAAGGAGGAACAATGTCCATTGGGCCTGGTGTTGGTGGCATCCATGGCTGATCTGGAGGGGGGTGTGGGGGCTGCTGATGCATTCCCCATTCTATTTAGGATTTAGGCATAAAAATATTCAACAGGGGGTTATAACAAAATCAACACAAATTTTTAAGATTTCAAGAAAGCTAGATTTTTCAGTAAAGAAACAGATTTTTTAAAAAACAATTTATGACTTCTTGGTCAAATTCCTTTTGTATATCTTACAAATAGGCAAAGAACTAAACTATCTTATAAATAATTCAAATGAGTTAAATCCATTCTAATTCACATCCTAAACAAATGGGAATCAAATGCCCAAAATTATTTTTAACGAATGTAACATAAATCCACAGAAACTTTTTGAATTTTTCTATTCTTGTTCAAAAACACCATAAAAATAATACTTAAATTTTTATATAAGTTCTTTCTTCCATGAACACATTTATCCTCACAACATCCCTGTGAGGTAGGGGAAATCAGATATTATTTTTGCCCATTTCATGAAGGGAAATTGAGGCACACAGATGTTAAATAACTTTACCAGGGTCACAAAGAAAACCAGTAGAGTAAAACTGGTGAATGGGGATGCCAGGGTGAGTCATTTATAAACTTGAACTTGGGGATTAAAACATTTTCAAACTTGAGAAAATTTGGCTTTCAGGAAAGCTAGAAATAAATCACCTCACAATATCAAAAATTAGAATATTTGTTATTTTTAAAATAGTGTTAGGGAATTCCTTCCTGTATTTCCATTTTTTTATAGTAACATGAGAAACAATAAATAGGGAAACGGGAATATGACTTCACCATCAGCATACCCAAATGAGAAATTCTTCTATAAATAGTTTAAAGTGATTATTAAAAAACAATAAAAATACAAGCCATGGAATTAGCCAAGGAATCTAAATCATACTGTGAATTAAAAAAAACAAACAAACAAAAAAATAAAACAAACAGAAACTTATGGAAGATCTTCACTATCAGAAAAAAAGGAAAGAGTAAGATGGGTGGATGGTAGGGGCAGAGTATATTTGACAGACTTATTTGTCACATAGTGACACAATTTTTCTTTAATTAGAGGCTAGACATGTACTCTGCCAGTGCTGCTTCTGAAAAGGCCAGAGGTTGCAACAGAGAGACAAAGAATGCTCTCTTCCCTAGATGCCAAGTGAGGTTTCCAGAGTGTTCCCAGCCCCTGTCAGCCTAGGAATGAAGAACCAAGAAAAGAATCAAACTGAGTGCCACAATGCTAGCAGAATGAGCACAGAATAATTTTAACCCCTAAATGTCAAGGTCAAATCAAATTGAGACTGCCTATTCTTTAAAGAGCATTAATTTCAAGAAGTCATAAAACTAAGCAAATTAATTTACCATTAACCTTCACTTTATTTTAAAAACAGTCCTAAAATTTGGAAAATGTAAACAAACCTGGTTGCCACATTCTATTAAAATTGGAATCCCCTTGAAAATTCCCATGATTGTTTGGACCAGATTCCATTGCAGACATATCTTGTCCATTTGGCATCATTCCTGGTGGTTGTTCTACTATGCTTTGCTGTCCTGAAGCTTCTCTTTGGGCAATCCAAGCCTGAGCCAATGCTGCCCAGTCAATCTGGCCTAACGTAAATTAACAAAGAATTTAACATTCAGAATGTAGGAGCTAAAAAAGAACAGTGCCTCTAATAAAACAAGTATCTCAGTTATTCCTTAATAAAACTTTAAAATTTTATAGAATGTTATACCTCAAAAGATGCTTAGAAACTAATCCATACTCAGGCCTCAGCATAATCTACTTAACATCTTCTAAAATGAACTCCACAAAGACACTTTTAACCCATTACTCATACTAACTCATAGGACGTTAATGCCCTGCATCTTACTTTTACTAAGTTTTTAAAAAGTCTCCTGCTGCCTCTTTTTAAACCACCATAAAAGTAATCAAAGTCAACCATTTTTTCCTTAGCATGTACTATATTCGTCTTTCCAGGCCTATCTTTGAGCCTACAGATCTGAATAAGTATAGTTATCTCTCCCTGCTCCTCTCCGGATTGCCCTTCTTTAAGGCTCCCTTCTCCAGTCAAAATACACTTTCCTTAACAACTTTGTAGTCATTCTTCACTCAAAACTCATTGTCCCTCACTATCTTGAAGGTCTCTACACTTCTTCTCCAGCTTAAGATCAAATATTATTAATAAAACAAATAAAATAGAATGGGACACATCTTTTTCACATCTCAGTTCAGTAAAGATTAAATAGACAATCTCACATACTTTCAGTGAAATTCAGGTTTGGCATAATCTGGATGAAGTTAAACTTAGCAATGTGTATCTCTAACTTTCAAAATCTGCAACTGCAACCTAGCAAACCTAGCTCTTTTACTTAAAAAAAAATTAAACAAGTTAATAATGATATGTACACAGAATTATGATGTTTCAAAAATAAAAAGCTGTAAACAAATATCCAAAAGTAGGCTTTGTTAAATTATAGTATGATCCTACAACAGAATGTTATGTAGATAATAAAAAAACAAATGGCATCAGATTATAAAGTTGGCCATAGCATAAACAAATGTTAAAGTAAAGAAACATATGGGGGGCTGGGGATGTGGCTCAAGCAGTAGCGCGCTCGCCTGGCATGCGTGCGGCCCGGGTTCGATCCTCAGCACCACATACAAACAAAGATGTTGTATCAGCCGAAAACTAAGAAATATATATTAAAAAAATTCATTCATTCTCTCTCTCTCTCTCTCTCTTTAAAAAAAAAAAAAAGAAAGAAAAAAGAAACATATGGGGGAGAGGGAGAAGCTCCCTATACTATTCTTCTATATTTATATATGCTTGAAATATTCCATAGTGAAAAGAAATCTTAAAAGTGCTATGGTATAGCATACACTGAATTTGATCTAATTGTGTAAGATTCAGAATTAACAACAGGGGCTAGGGATATAGCTCAGTAGTAGAGTGTGTGCCTTGTATGCCCAAGGCCCTGTATTCTAATCCCCAGCACCACAAAAAAAAAAAAAAAAAAAGAGAAAAAAGAATTAAAGTATGCTCTATTCAAGCAGTAAATTTTATGCTTTTTTTTTATTTCTTTGGAAAAATAACACACACTAATATGTAAAATCTTTATAACGCTTTCTATCCTTGGGGGAAGTCTTTCAAAGAAAAATTCTTATTACATATGTTATGGCAAGGCTGTTAATGATAAAAGTTATTTTGATCATAAAATGATTCAAAATGAATCCCAATTCTGTTACCTATCACCTCTCCATTTCTAAATACCCGCCCCACTCCTTATCAAATTCAATTTTTTCTTACTTGGATCCTGTTGATGCTGGAATGACTGCATCCACTGTTGTTGGTTCAAGGGCCATTGCTGCCACGGCTGTCCTCCTTGATCCCACATTCTTTCTTTAAAAATATATTGATTTTCTATTTTCAAAAAATTAAACATAGTTTAAAAATTACACTGCAAGTTCTTTAATTTTTAATCCGTACACACCAGAAATTATTATATGATGATACATTAATGTGATTAGAGCTCTAAAATTCTGATCAATATATTACCAGAGATGACTAGAATTTTTAGGTTCGTCAGAAAGAGTAGAAAATTTTATATTAATGCTCATGTTAGAGTCTGGTGGCCAAAAAAAGAAAAGCTCTAATCAACTTAGCTTAAAAAGGGTAAAAAATATAAGAATATACAATTTTCTGGAAATCTGATTTTTTTGAAAATTATACAAAGTTTTTATTCTCCCTCCAAATGACTCCTGAAAAAGAGTAACTAAATAGCGATAGCTGATGAAGAAAGTTTCTCCTTATAATTATAGTTAATAAATGCAGACAGTGGAATAGAATTAGAAAACTGCCATAATGCCAAATCTAATAATTGATTCAGGAAAACTTGGAAGAAAAGTTGATGAGAAATCAAATTCACAGGTTACCAAAATACCATCCCCAAAGATTGTGAGGTGTCTATGAATGGAAGTACTATGTTCCCAAAATCACTATGAATATTCTTACCAAAAATGTTTAACTGAAACTAAAGAAATTATAGAAGATTAAAAAAATGATATAAACAATATCTGAAAAAACAATCAGACAAAGCCAGAAAGTGAGAGAATCTCCAAGACCTGGTTTCTTAACATGTTAAATAGATTGAAAAATTGTGAGTGGGTCATCATAACTAGCCTGCTTTTTTGTAAATAATCCTGAAAACTTTTCTAATAAAAAAATTTTAAATTCCTACAAGTCTATTATCTTCGTACTTTATCATTGATATATAACCCTATTCAAGAAAAGAGAGACTAGATCCTTCTCTCTCCCCCTGCACAAAAGTCAATTCAAAATAGATTAAAGACCTAGGAATTAGACCAGAAACTATGTAACTCATAAAAGAAAATGGATACAACAGGCAACATAACAGGTAACAACTTTCAATAGGATCCCTAAAACTTAGTAAATAATGCTAAGAATTAATAAATGGGATGGCATCAAATCAAACAGCTTCTGCACAGCAAAAGGAAACAAGAATGTGAAAGAGAACCTACAGAATGGGAGAAAATTTTTGCTAGCTATTTGTTGACAGAGAATTAATATCCAGAATATATAAAGAATCCAAAATAAGTTAACACCAAAAAACAACCCAATTAATAAATGGGCAAATAAATACTTCTCAAAAAAAGAAATACAAATGGTCAACAAATACATGAAAAAAAATATCCAACATCATTAGCAATTAGGGAAATGCAATTCCAGTCTTTGCAGTATTCTCAGAACGTTATATAGTTCTGTTAGTGGTTGATTCTGATTTCTTTGTGGATCAGGGGTGGTACATTTCTTTGTTATCTCGATTACTTTAAAAGGCAAAACTACTTGTCTTCTGGTTATACTAATATAGTTTATTGCATCACCATCAGTAGAAGAAAACAAAACTAGCACTACATAGCACCACAACTGGAATTGGACATCAGTTCCAAGCTAAATATACTTCTTTTTAAAATCTTTTCAGTGTTTCTTTCTTCTACCCCCACTTCCTCCCTTATTTCCCAACTTTAAAGTCCTTTAAAGCTAAATTAGTCATCAGAGCCCTCAAAAAGTAACTTTAATTTCAGTTTTAATTAAAGTTAACAAATCAAAAGGAAACACCAAAAAGCAATACCAACTGCTATTTTAACTGACTCAGAGATTCTCCTTCTGTTTAAAACTTAGGTTGATTCACCTAACAGCACAAATATTTATATACTGAGATGGTGTGAGGGAGAATGTGTATGTTCTTAGATTATGACGATTACAATAGAATAAATTTCAGAGATACAACATAAAAGTGTGATTATTTCCACATTAAAGTTTACTTTCTGTTAACTTGATAATGGGGAATTATTTTACCATTATAAAGTTAAGGAAAAGAGATACACTGAAAATAAAGAGGCAAAGCTTCTTAAAATCTTTTTTTTTAAAACACTTTCTAAACATGTTATCTACTTGAACAATCCATTCACCATACAATATAATGTCAAACAATTTAGAAAATGAGAAAAAGGGGACAAACATTTGAAAATATTTTTGTCTGCCTGGCATTAACTTAAATGGTATAAATAAGGTAATAAAATGCATTAATTCAATTTTTTTCGGTGGTACTCAGATTGAATCCAGGGCCTCAAACATATGAGGCAAGTACCTTACCACTGAGCTGCATCACCAACCCTTTGCCTCAGCCTCCAAAGGAGCCAAGATTACAGGCATATGCCACCGTGTCCTAGCTTAATTCAGATTTTTCTACAAAAGTCTGTTTGAAAATTAGCAAAGACAAACAAAAACAAAGAAAAATTTTTCCATCTTTTCATTTTCCACACAGTACAGGACAACACCAAATGAATAATAACTGAGTGGTCTTTTTGTTTATGGTATTTCTCAAGGTTAATAAGAAATTTGTTGACCTATATTTATGAGAATGAATATGCTGACCTAAGCACAACTTTGCTGTGTTTCCAAACTTTAACAGCTTTTATCAGAATTCAATGCATGGGGGCTGGGGTTGTGGCTCAGAGGGGAGAGCGATCACCTAGCATGCATGAGGCACTGGGTTCGATCCTCAGCACCGCATAAAGTAAAATAAAGACATTGTTTCCACCTATAACTAAAAAATAAATATTAAAAAAAAAAGAATTCAATGCATGGATTTTTCAATCCTAAATTTTACACGATGTAGACAGAGTTCTATAAGGTGCCTACTGGAGACGCAAACAGTAAAACATTAATGATTAAATAGTATATATAACTACCTACACCATTTCCAAAACATAAATTTTCTTTTCCAGAAATCACTAGTTTCCCTTTCTTACTCAAGTTTAATAGATGTCATGAACTTTTTCAGTTCTCCTTTTAACTTTTCAGATCATCACTTGTCACCTAGACTTTAGAGCATAAGCTGTGGTTCATGATGCCTACTTCTACTTATTTATTAGCTATTTGAACATGGCAAAATAGTCTTTAATCCTTGAATTCCCCACCTATAACAATGGAAGACACAATGACTACCTCATAGGATTATAGTGAAAAATACATGTAAACAGCACAGAAAGTTCCAATTAGTGGTGGTCAATATCATTACCAGCACTTTCTCAGTATACTTCTGGTAGCAGGTTTTTAAAAAAAGTTGATAAAGCCCTTTTACTTCTATTCAAGTGCATTTTATTCTCCAGAAATAATCTAAGACTTACACAGATTTTCATTTTATCTTTGGAAGAACTCGTTTGTCTTATTGTCCCTACTTCTCACCAAATCATAGGTTGATTTAAAAAAAAAAAAAAAAAGTGCCAGGCATAGCTGCATATGCCTATTATCCTAGCAACTTGGAGGCTGAGAGGGGAGGATTTTAAGTTCAAGATCAATCTGAACAACTTACTGAGATCTCCCTCCTAAAAATAAGTTCTAAAAAAGAACAATAACTTCAGATATATACCTATATACCAAGAAGTTTTACTTGCATAATTTTGACTGTCTGATTTGTATTACTTATAGCCAATATTCTATATTTTTAAACCAATCACTTATAATATAACAATTGTTATGTATCCCAAAGCTTTTCTTCCTGAAAGTTCTTATGGAATCTACTATTCAAGTATAGTGTCTGATAAATTTAAGCCGAGAAAAATGGAGAAAAAGATGTGAAACTGTGAAAGGCAGAGCAGAATTAAAACAACAACAACAAAAACAGAAAAGAAAGTGACAATAAAATTCATAGAAGAAGTTAGAAGTTAGGAGGTGGGCTGGGGTTGTGGCTCAGTGGTAGAGCGCTCACCTAGTATGTGCGGGGCCCTGGGTTTGATCCTCAGCACCACATAAAAATGAATGAATAGAATGAAAGTATTGTGTCCAACTACAACAAAAAACTAAATATTAAAAAAAAAAAAAGCTAGGAGCTACTAAGGTGCTTCAATTAAATTTGGAATTAAGAAACTTGATCTGATTACCAAGAAAGACTCCTGGATGAGGGTATAGATATAAAAATGAACCAAAAAATGTACCTCTATTCAGTCATTTAAATGAGTAAGGTAGATTTTTATGACAGATATGTTACAAACCATGTTAGTGGCAAGAAAAACTTACACAGACACATAAATAGAGATCAGGGAAATTTGATTTTTTATTATGATATTCTGTACTCTTTGAATGACTTTATCATGAGTGCACTTTTCAAAATATATAGATTTTAAAAGATATAAATCAAGGGAAGCTGATGAGCATAATCAGTAATGACTGATATGGAAAATAAAAATTAAGACAAAAATCACCTAACTAAGAGACACTGGGCAAATCTCCAGACCTTTATTTCATTTCTTATAGAGTAAATTTCTATAATTTAGTCCAAAAGAGGCGCCTCTGGTCATGAAAACTAAATTTAGAGTTACATTAAACATTGTAGAAAAAGAAGAGATTTTAGGCAAAGATCAGATATATTTAGATATTTAATATTATCTCTTATATATGTTTCAATATAACTCAACACTTGATAAAAGGTTTCATTATTTTTTAACTAAAGAACAAGTACCTAAGAATTTAGATGTCCTATTCTTTCTTTCTTCATTTTCACCATAATATTGTCACTATTAACAAACTTAACAAATACAAAATGTGAAAAACATAAGTAGTAGAAAAGCCTTTCACTGGGTAATCAACAGATAGACATGCTTTGTCCCTCAGTATCTGTGAGGGATTGGTTTCAGGATGCCCATGGACACCAAAATCTGTGGACTCTCAAGTCCCTTATCCAAAAAGGTGTAAATTTGCATATAACCAATGCACACCCTTCTATATACTTTAAATCATCTTGATATTACTTATAGTACTTAATACAATGTAAATACTATGTAAAAGGTTGTTATACTATATTGTTTAAATAATAACAAGGAAAAAAAAGGGTCTATGTTCATTCAGCACAGATGTTATTTTTTTTTCCCCCAAGTACTTTCAATCTGCAATTGGTTGAACCCACAAGATATGGAACCCACTGATAGGGCAGACTGTGTTTTTAAATTCACTGTGGTTCTTTTGTTCCTTGGTTTGTTCTGCACTGCTGCAGATCAAACCCAAAGGCCTCCAAAATGCTAGGCAAGTGCTCTAACTTAGCTACACCTTCAGGATCACTTTGGTTTAATGACTAGCACAAAAGTATACCATTGAAAATGACATTTACAGTGTGGTTTAATAATGATTTGGAAAATGTTAGTAACTGTTAAACACGGGACTTCTCTATATTTCTGCATTGTTTGAAATGTTCCTTAATAATTTAAAGATGATATACACAGTACTTCTTACAGGGAAAATGTAATGAGTTTTCATATTTTTGTCTTGGCTTAAAGAAGAATCTTCTTGAGGGGAGAAGAAATATCTTACAATATCTGAATTCTCTACACTGCTTTGTCCATACTAAGTGGTTAAATACTCATTCACTAAAATATATTAATATATTAATATTTGGTCATGAAAATGACATTCTAATACTGCTGCTGTCCTTTTATAATATCAAAATTCGACCCCAATCTATCTATACTTCCTTTAGACTTAATTTTAAAGATCAATAGACTCAACTTTTTTTAAACTTGAAGAAATTTGATGACTGATGAGTCAGATTGCAAACCTTTTTTTGAGAGTATATTTCTTCGCATGGTCAAGTTAACTGTAATATCCTTGGAAAACAATTGGGATTTGGGAAGACCAGAAAGATTTTTTAAAAATCAAGGTTTATACCGCATCATCAAAACTATCACACTGCTACAAATAAAAAACTTATGATTATCACCAGTGTTGTAGACTGAATTGAGTCTCTTCAAAAGTAAGTTGAAGTCCTACTCCCTCATACTTGTGAATGTGTCCTTATTTGGAAATAGTCTTTGCAGGTGTACTCAACTTAAGATTAGGTTGTACTTAAGTAGGGTGACATCTAAACAAATGACTGGGTTCCCTACAAGACAAAAGACTCAAACACCCAGACAGAGAATGTCATGTGACAATAGTGGCAAAAGTTAAAGTGAGGAGTCTACAAGTCAAGGCCAGGACTGACAGAAAGCACCAAAAGCTGGAAGAGGCAAAGAAGGACGCTACAGCCCAGGGGAACACAGCCCTGCCAAATCTTGATTTCAGACTGTCTTTGGAACTGTGAAATAAATTTCTGCTGTTTTAAGCCATCCACTTTGTGGTAATTTGTTATGATAACTCTATGAAACCAATACAGTCAAGAAATGATCATTTAGCTTATTCCTTTCTAAAATGATTTTGTATTACAATCATCCTGTCTCTTGAGTTTCCTAAAATGACAACAGTTGTTAATATTTGCAAAGGTCACCCACAGACTGTGAGACAGAGATGAATGGGAATTAAAATTTGGTGTTTTAAACCCATCATGAATCAAATACAAAATCACAAAGATATAGAACCAACTTGGGAGGCTGAGGCAAGAGAAACATGAATTCAAAGTCAGCCTCAGCGGGGCTGGGGTTGTCGCTCAGTGGTAGAGTGCTTGCCTAGCATGTGTGAGGCCCTTGGTTCGATCCTCAGCACTGCATAAGTAAATAAAATAAAGTATTATGCCCATCTACAACTTAAAAAAAAAAGTCAGCCTCAGCAAATTAGCAAGGCCCTAAGCAACTCAAGTGAGACCCTGTCTCTAAATAAAAAAGGTAGGGCTCAGTTAAGTGCCCTGGGTTCAATCCCCAGTAAACACCTCCCTGCAAAAGACAGATAAACACACCTGTCCTTTTGATGCATATGGTAAAATTATTCTCACATCAAACATAAAGCTGAAAAGTCACAAAATACAAAGATCCTTTTTCCACCTGCCAGTTCAGTCTTACACACAAGTGACCTCAAAGTCAAAAAGAATTCATTTGTTTAATTCAAGTTAGGTGGAAATGGCACTGGTAAAGATTATTCTTGAAATGTGGTTAAAAAAAAAATTGATTTGATTTCACATGCATTTTAGTATACAGTGAAATATTTTGCAGCTTGTAGTTCAAAAGAGGAACAGTACTAAAAAAACAATGCAGAATTGGATAGTTTGGTTCTAATGCCCTCCAAACTAGTAATAACTGAAAAATAAAGGCCTAAAGTGACAATTAGCACCTACACCTTAGTTCTATGTCATTTGGCAATAAAAGAACGATGAGTTCTTAGAGAAGGAGCTGATTCTAGGACTCGGGCAGGAAATATGTGACTGGACCATCTTATGGTGCCAAGAAATACAAAAGAGCTACAAAAAAAAAAAAAAAAAAAGAGGAACAGTACACAAATTGAAAGAGCTGCCAATGGTCAAAGCTGAAACAATTTAAAAATCAAAATGAAGCTATACTGGATTATAACAGATTATAAAATAAACATCCATGGGTCTACACTGACATAAACGTTTAATTAAGCTGGACACAGTGAGACACACTTGTAATTCCAGCAACTTGGAAGTCTGAGGCAGGAGGATCCCAAATTCAAGACTAGCCTCAGTAATGTAGCAAGGCCCTAAGCAACTCAGCAAGACCCTGTTTCAAAATAAAAAATTGAAATTGGTTGAGGACATGGCTCAGAAGTCAGGCACCCTTGGGTTAAAGCCTCACTACCAAATAAATAAATACTTAAATAAATTAACAAACAGGAGGAAAGGGACAAATCCCCCATAGAGATTTCCAAATAAATTGTGAAAATACTCCACCCTAATGGAGGGGGAGAATAACTCTCCATTACTAAAGGTTATGCAAAGCAACTTCCTGCCAAAAAGTAGAGCATGGAAAGGAGAGAAGGAGGTAACTTAACAATGGTAAAGCCTGACAAACACTATCTCAGGAAGATGATCAAACTCACTATCAATATGTTAAGTCACACTAAGAGTATGTACTCTTTATAGCATGTGATGAAAAGGGCTTTACCTCAGCGATCATCCTCCCAAAACTACTAACAGTATTTCAATCATGAGGAAAACATCTGGCAAAGTCCAGTATACCTGACCAACACTCAAAAATGTAAAGGTTATTCTACAGAAGTATGCCAGGGCTGCCATAACCAACTACCACAGAATACTACTTTAAGCAACAGAAATATATTTCCTCATAATCATGGAGACTGAAAGTCCAAGATAAAAGCTTCAGCAGGACTGATTTCATTCTGAAGCTTTTCTCTTCAGATTGTAGATCCCTCTGCATCTAAATCTCTTCTTCTAAGGAAACCAGTCATATTGGATTGGATTAGGGCCCATGAGAATGATATTATTTTACCTCTTTAAAGACCCTATCTCCAGGGCTGGGGCTAGCTAGGGTCAGTGGTATGGCACGTGAGGCACTGGGTTCAAACCTCAGCAACACATAAAAAAATTAAAATAAAATAAAGGTATTGTGTCCACATACAAAAAAAAAAAAAAAAAGACCCTATTTCCAATATGGTCAAATTCTGAAGTAAAGAAGTTAGGACTTCAACATATGAATTTTGGGGGACACAATTCAACCCCTTTTAGTCATAAAAAAAAAAAAACAAAGCCTGAGAAACTCTCACAGGCCAGTGGAGACTAAAGGCACATGACACCTAAATGTAATGTGGTGCCCCAAACAGGATTCTGGTGAGAAAAAAGAACTACAATTTAAAAAACTAAGGAAACAGTAATAAACCACGGACTCCGTTAATAACAGTTTATCAATATCGTTTCATAAATTGTAACAAAAAGTACCACACTTATAAGGGAAGAAACGGGAAAGGAGGGACGATTATGTACTATCTGCTCCATTATTCTGTAAATCAAAAATTATTCTAAAATATAAAATCTATTAATAACTTTTTAAAAACAGTCTCTCTCAAGGACATCTTAAAAGAACTGATTTACTATTATTCTCCCGATAGCCCTTTTACACTTTACAAAAATCCCAGAGTAAAATCTTTTTGTTCATGTTTTGTTGTTTTCACTGTATTCAAATGAGAAATTTCAGGTTTACTTTGCTTTACGTGGTTCAGGGAGGGAAACAGATTAATAAGGGATTTTAAATTAGAATGTTAATTTAACAATTTAATCACCCAGAATCAAAATTTGTCCAAAGCCCAATTTAAGTGACGATACTATCCACGATAAGACGAAAACAACCGAAATATACTACCTGTTTCCTTGTGAAGCTTAACACATAACGTCCACCACTAGATAAGAACACAAGAAAAACAAAAAGTAAGGCACCTAATTGTAGTTAACAGGACGCAGTGGCCTTCAGCCGCGCCTGCGTAGTTGGAGCCGCGCAGAGTGTAAGCTCCAGGCCTCGGCCCCCGCCTCCTCCGCCGCCGCAACACCCCCTCCCCAGAAGAGTTCCCACTGCGCACGCGCAGTACTTAACGGCCGGTCAGGAGCCCAACAATTAGTCTGGTCTCATCCAAGAAGAAACTCTTAAATTAGAAGAAAAGGTAGTGAGCGCTCTCTTTAATAACATTTCCCTTTTACAGACAGCACCGCTCTGATTCACCAAGTCAGGCAGACACTGCTGCTTTAAGGGAATGAGGTTCCAGCAGTCACGCCAAGCAGCGTACGCAGCCTATTTAACTCATGGTACCTAGGCCACAGCAACCAAGAGGTTTGTAATAATCCAGCAAGTCCCCACGTGCAATTGTTCTTCATCACTTACCCACTCTTGTTCCGGAACACCGCTGTCGCCACGGTTCTTGCAATACCTCTCCAACCCTTTTCGATGCTTCTACTTCTTCACGAACAAGACAAGATGGCGCACGATAGGACTCACCCGGAAGTGAATATTAATAACATCCGCTTGTCATCTGAAGCCATACTAGCACTCGTCCTTGTTTGTCGGCACGTCACTGTGGCGGATTGACAAGGTCCGATGCCATTTTTGTTATGGGCAAAACCACATCGACTTCTACAAGCGTTTGAACATTCCTATACATCACCTCTTAACGTAAGCTCGCTCCGGTGCCCTACGCATTTTCATCTTTATAGTGGGCAGAAAGCCAAGAGCCTAACTGTCCTACACAGAGGACGCCCTCAAATCTCTTACTTTAGTAATAAGCTCCTCCTTCAAGAGGACGTGTGTATCCCACTCCCGCCCCTGGAACATTCCCGCTCTGGGAAAAAGGCTGAGTTCACGTCTCCACTTTCAGACTACGGAAGGACTTGAGGGTCAAACTCAGTCGTCTCTGGTCAGTTGCCGAGTGATCCCGGAACAGCTTTTTAGGCACGACAGGATTTGGCCCCAACCTTCTTGGAATACCCGAGACTGGAGCCTCATTGAACGCTGCCGAAGGTTGGGGGGAACAGGATATTTGTGCGGGTGGCCTGTTTGGGTCGATAGCCAAAGTGGAGACTTTATCTGACCCACAGCCATCTGCCGTCCCCTTTGTTAACCCAAAGCATGGCGCCCCTTCTGGAGATGTTTGCTCAGCTCTACTTGGCTCAGCTAGTTCTTAAATTTCTTTATCCGTGACCTTTAGGAAATAGTGTTCGGAAGTCTTCTATTCCCTTTTCCTCCCGAAGGGCATATGCAGTGCAGTTCCTTAGAAAACTTTGACTCCACAATTTTAATATGAACAACATTTGTCTATCAAAAGTACCAATTTACATACTAGGAATTTCAAATTAGAAAAAAGTGTCCCCAAAATGTAGTATTTATTTCTTGGCTAATCGTGGGTAAATGCCTTTCCTGAGGTGACAAATTTTTGCATAACTGAAGAAAGTCTGCACTAAGAATCTAAATCATTTCCTTGGGAGTTGGTGGGCGGGAGAATTCTGCAGATTACTGTAGAGTCAAGAGTACTACTAAATGAATAACAAACATAAGTATATGGCCCACGATTGGTCTCACCTTCAAGGAATTATTACTAACATCTGCTTGTCATCTTTAAGGGAGAGAATATGGGTACCCTTTATCAGTGTTCCTTGCTAAAGCACTCTGAACCCAGAAACACCTGGATTATCATCAGAATGAAGTCCTCACTGGCTGAAGATCTGCTGGTCCTCTTTAGGAATTAAACCAGAAACAATGCAACTCTTAGAAAAAAAAAAATGTATGGCCAACATATAGGCACAGGCAAGACTTTCTCAGTAGGACCCCTAAAGCTCAAGAAATAATGCCAAGAATAAATGGGATGACATCGAATTAAAAAAGTTTCTGCACAACAAAGGAAACAAGAATGTGAAGAGAGAATCTACAGAATCAGAAAATCTTTGCTAGGCATTCTTCTAACAAAGGATTAATATGTGGAATATGTAAAGAACAAAGTTAACACCAAAAAAAAAAAAAAAAAAAATTAAGAGATGGACAAATGAACTCAGCAGATAAGTCTCAAGAAAAATACAAATGGTCAACAAATACATGAAAAAGAAAAGTTTAAAGATGATTAGCAAATCAAAGTTACACTGGGATTTCATCTCACTCCAGTTAGAATGGCAGCCATAAAGAGTATGAACAATAATAAATGCTGGAAAGAATGTGGAGAAAAGAAGTCCCACGCTATTGTTGGGAGTGTAAATTTGTACAATCTTTGTGCAAATCAGTATGGTGGTTCCTCAAAAGATTAGGAGTGGAACCACCATATGACCCAGCTATACCACTAGGTGGTATTTATCCTAAAGAATTAAAGTCATCATATTTTGGTGATACAGACATACCCATATTTATAGCAGCACAATTTACAACAGTGAAACTATGGAACCAGCCTAGGTGTCCAATGGTTGAGTGGATAAAGAAAATGTGGTACACATACACAATGGAGTTTTATTCAACCATAAAAATGAAACTATATAATTTTGAGGAAAATGGATGGAACTTGAGAACATTATCTGAAACAAAAGAGGCCAAACTCAGAAAGTCAAGAGTTGTTTTCTCTCATATGTGGAAGCTAGAGAAAAAAAAAAAAGGAAAAGAAGGGAGAATCTCATAAAATTAAAAAGGAGATGGGTAGAGAAAAAGGAACCAGGAGGGAGAGAAAGGGGAAATAGTGGAGAATATTGGCCAAATTATATTGTTATATTGTGTGAATATATGAATATGTAACAACAAATTCCACCATAATGTACAATTACAATGCACCATTAGAATTATGGGAGAAAAAGTCATCATATTTGGCATAACCAAGTTTATAGCAGTACAGTTTACAATGGCTGAACTATGGAACCATCTTAAAGTGTGTGATAATGGATGAATGGATAAAGAAAATGTGATACACACACACACACACACACACACACACTGGAGTTTTATTCAGCCATAAAGAAGAATGAAATTCTGTCACTTGCAGGGAAATGGATACTTGAGAACATTGTGGCAAAACAAGTCAAACTCAAAGTCAAGCATGGTATGCTTTGTCTCATACATGGAAGCTAAAGAGAAAAAAGGAAAAGAAAGGTTTGTGTGTGACAACAAGGGGTGGGGGGAAACCTCGTGAATATCAAATGGAGATCAACAGAGTAGAGGAGAGGGACTAGGGAGAGGTAGGAAGGAAGGAAAAGGGGAAATATGGGGAATGGTATTGGCCAAATTATATTGTATGTACATACAAATATATAAAAACAAACCCCACCATTATGTACAACTATAATGCACTAACAAAAATATGGGGGAGGAAATGTATGCTGTAGCATGATGCCTGAATGTTTTGCCTGGCTTGCTGCTTTTCTAGGTTTGAACTCTGGTAGACTTCAAGGTTCTCCAAATTGGCCAACCCTCATGATGAACTCTTTGAGTGCAAGAGGCTGGAGGCAATGTCAGGAGAAGGCAAGATGCTTGGATTCTGGTGTTAAAAGAGGAAGAAGTGGAATTATTCAGAATACATGCACACTTACTTGTTTCAACTGATCCCATCTTCATAGGTTGCTTTCCAACTTTGGAACTGCTTCTTACTTTGGCTTTGTCTGTTTATATTTCCCTTAACTTTCTGGCCATAAAATATTTGAGTCGGCAGGGAAAAAAAAAACAACTCCTGGTCCTCAAATCAAAATATAAATTTATTTTGGGAGAACAGTTCACTAATTATGGAGGTTCACTAACCAGAATGTGAGTTCATGAGGATATTACTAGAGGAAAAAGGAAACTCATTTTCTTTGACCCTTTCCTTGATTACAAGCTAGCACAACTAAGACTACTAAACAATCTAATATGCTTCTAAAAGTCACTTTATGGAGCAAAAACTAGAAGAATATATACCACATTATTAGTAATTATCTCTGGTTTTCTGTATTTTCCAAGTTTATTTTCATGAGAAACATTTAATTGGAGAAATATTCTATCAGTGAAACCTGACTATCATGTTTCTACTGCCTATAATCAGCCTGTAATTGTTTGCTTATTTCCCTTGTAAAGTTGAGGTAATTTGGGGGGTCAGGATTTTTTTTTCCCACTTCTGTACTCCACATGCGAAGAATACACAGAAATATTTACATTTGTCAAATGATTGGATTTATATTTTGAGCAATGACCTTAATGTAAGCCAATCATTTTGGATATCCATTGCCAAACGGAGGGGATGATTAAATGCTTCACTTTTTGTTCCTTGGTGCCAGTTTAATAATACACTAAGCAGTCCCATTTACAGACCAAAAATGAGTTTTATTCCATTTCCCTTTCCCTAAACATTCTTCCAGAATTTCCCTGTAACAGGACATGATGGTGACAACACATAAGTGTTGGAATACTGTGTATTTCAACCCCAAATTTTCTCAATGTGTATGCTGTTGTGATAAAGTGTCTGTGTAAACAGCTATCACATATGAACTCCTGTGCTTTAGTCATCCTGCACCCTGATTATCAAGTGCTATTAGCAGCCACCATCTTGCCAGGGGTATCTGGTATCTGCTCGATCAAGGGACTTTGAAAATTAATTTTTAAATTAACTTCCAGTTTGCAGTGTTGGAGGTAGGAAATTTTAGAGAAAGATATACTTTAGTACCTTGGCTCATGGAGAGAAATTGTCCTTAAAGTAAAATGGAATAAAATGTTGATATGAGATGTGGAAAAAATACAGAAATAGGAACTATTCCTGCTTTTCAATATTTGAACCTTTATAATGCTACTAGGTTCCATGCCACATCTTAAACCTCAAAAATTTACAGTTGTGATATACAAATGCAGAATATTATTTAGCCTAAAAAGAGAACAAAATTCCAGTACAGCTGGGTGTGAGCACAACTGTAATCCTACTGGCTCCGGAGGCCAAGGCAAGAGGATTGTGAATTCAAAGCCAGCCTCAGCAAAAGCAAGGTGCTAAGCAACTCAGATCCTGCCTCTAAATAAAAAGTAGAAAACAGGGCTGAGGTTGTGGGTCAGTGGTTGAGTACCAAAAAATCCCCAGCACAAAAAAAAAAAAAAAAAAAAATCCAGTACATGCTTAAATATGGATGAACCTTAAAAACATGTTGGTGAATTAAACCAGACACAAAAAGATAAATATTGTATCATTCCACTTTTATGAGGTATCTACACTAGGTACAATAGGTAAATACAGAGAGTAGAAAAGAGGTTGTCAGGAGTTGGAGGAAAATGGGAGTGGGGAGTTGTTATAGTTTAATGGGTATAGAGTTTCTATTCAGAATGGTGAAAGGATTCTGGAAATGATGGTGTGGTTTGCACAACAATGTGAATGTACTTAATGCTACTGAATTATACACCTAAAAATGGCTAAAATGGTAAATTTTGTTATATGTATTCTTCCACATTATAAGCATATTTAACATACTATAAATTATTATGAATTGCAAC